TCAATGACTTTATCAATAATTACTTACACACTAAAAAAGTGTTTTTAAAATTTATCTAATAATATATGATAAAATTATTTCAAAAAATATTATAATTTGAGACGAATTTATTATCAAAATAGGATTTTTTCATGGAAAATATATTTTAATAATCATTTAGAATAATTTTATATCATCATAATAGAAAATGTATTGATAACAATGATAATGATGTTATAGACCAATCACGATATGAGATCAAAAAATGAAATTTTTTGAAAGATATCATATGTAGTTTTATTTTTAAAAAGTATAGAGTAAAAAAAAATAAAAATTTGAACTATATTATCATACTTCAACGAAACAATGATTGAATTTTCTTTGCATGATTTTTGAGATTGCATAATCAAAATTGCAATTATGATTATGCACAATATGTTTTTATGATTTTATGATAAATTGAAATTGTATGATCAAATGAAAAAACCTGGTATTTTATTTATTTCATAAATGATGAAAAATTGATGAAGAAAATTTCAAGAACATTTGGACACCTTGTACATTAAGATTTCACAAGATAAAAGTTTGTAATCAAGTAATCAAAATGTGGTCTAGTACATGTTAGAAGAATTCATATTGTAGGAAAAAAATTGAAATCATCAAATTTATCACAATAAAATATGATGAATAAAGGCAAATATCAAGTATTTCGTAAAAATTTAACTCAAACCTTGGAGGGTGATATGTTGTAGATTGATAATCTTTGTACCATAAGATTTGCATGTGGCTCGAGATACAATTTGTATTCATTTTTATTTTCAACTTTAAAAGTATGTTATTCCTTCTGCATTTTTATCATGTTTGACAAGTATCATGAAAGTATTTGAATACATCATGACATCAATAAAAAAATCTTTAAAAGTGTGAGATTTAAGATTGTAGTTTAAAATTTGTTCATATCTCCAATTTTGTGTGAAATACACGATTACATTGATAAAGAGGAAAAAAATATTGATCTTGGAACATTTGCTACTCATTACATCTTTTTTATGGCTCGATGGAGATAAATAGACTGGATTATTAATCCTAGAGTGAATCATTTTCTATGCAATTATTTTGCCAGCTGATTATTCATATTTGAGTATGGTCATCAAGTGGCGAGGTAGAGCAAATATAAGCATATGCAAAGAAGTAACCTTTTCGTTGCTTGAAGTTCAAAAACGTCCATGTTTGACTTCGACATGTTCATGAATGAGAGAGAGAGAGGGGGGGAGAGGGAGATTGCAATGAAATGAACAATGGGACAAAGCATGACTGAACATCCCTTGGACTACTTCAGACACCATGTTTCCATGGACACATAGAGAGCAGAAGGCTATGGAGTTCACATGAGACGATGATTCTTCTAACACTGATGTTCTTCGTAGACTGTTTCAACCATATAGTTCTGACATATAGTTTCCAGGGTGATGCTATTGGGGGCTAGCCGCATGTTACTCGTTTGGCTTCATGATTTCATGTTAGTTCATGCGAGCGAGGGTTAAGTTGGCAGTAGTCCAGGGGAGAAATGGCCACGACTCTAGCACCAGGAGTCAATTCGCATCGAGCTAGAAGCGCACCTAAGTACGAGAGAAGCGAAGAGTAGGGGAGGATCTGTCGACAGAAATCACACTCATGCATGGCGCGAGCGAAGGGCTTCGAGTTAAACAAAGGGCACAAAGAGAAAAGAACGGGGACGAGATGCTTCGCAGCTTTGTGTCAGAATGATTCGATTAGGTCTCGTAGGCACGAAACTCATAAATCACAAGTCTACGATGGAAAAAAGTTGCAGCGAGGTCATGTTCTATTCGTGAGATGCTCGGGCATCCTACTCAAAGCCAATCTGGACGCATGTTGCCCTCTCGCGGCTCGTCGCCGAGGTCGAGAAGCCAGGGCCCATGAAGATAATAATATCTGAGTCCGACGAACAATCTGATTATGGCAACGAAGCGCGAATAAGTTCGAGGATCGATTTATTTGCGAGACGAGGATGGCGAGCGAGCGAGGGCTCTGGTTGCATCGATCGATCCGGAGACAGACAGATCGTATCATATACCATACGATCCCGTACGAGCCAGCGAGCCAGCTCGAAATACAATAAAGGAGATGTGGTGCATGGTGCCAGCACGGCGTGTACTTTGGGTTGAAGGATGTGGACTTTAAGGCACGACACAGCATTCGTCGACGGTTGCTGAATGGACTTATTACTCGGCCTCGCAGGATTGACTTTTTCGCTCTCTCGTCTCGTCGTCCCCTCGTCGGCTCGACTCATCGACTCATCGTCCATCGCTTTGTGCTCAGGTCGCAGGAGGGCAGATCCGTGCTGGAGGTGGTGGAGACGGAGAGGGGAAGGAAGGCAGGGAGGAAGGAAGGAGGACGGACTGGGACTTGGGACGGAAGGGAATGAATGATAAATAAATTGCGGGAGGTCCAGGGCCTTATAAAACAGCATCATAAGGGCTCCTCATCAACTAATGCTATCATGGCCGACGGGGCCTCACGTTTGTTGTAAGGAGGAGGAGTTGTTGTTGTTAAGCCCTCGCACGTAGACGTGTCGCATAGCTGTCCAAACCCTAAATCCCTCCCTCCTTCCCTCGTCCGCCCTCGCCCTCCCATCCCGTCCCCCGCACTGCCCCAGCCCCAGCCCCACCCCCATTCTGCTGCTGCTGCTGCCTCCTCCTTTCCCAAACCGTGATTTCTGCGGTGGGGGGGAGAAAACCATTGTGGGGCCAGAGATCGCGCGACGTAATTCGCGACGCTTTTCAGTAAGGCGAGGGTGACACAGCAGGCGGGTGGGGGAGGGGGGTAAATAGCCTCTTCCCCCCTACTAGCGACCCCCCATCCTCCGTCCTGAGATGCCCATGGCTCTGCCCGCGGCCCCACTGCCCCACGGCCCCACGCCCTATCTTTTCCGACGAACGTCTCTCGGCGGCATATTCCCCCTTTTTTTTTCCACCGCGGTTCTTCACGCCCCGTCCGTGCTTCCACCTCCGGCGGGCAGCGGTCAGCTGAGGTCTAGACCGGGGTTCGACAACCACGTTCCTCGCGGCTGCTGCTTTGCATGGAAACGAAGTGGAGGCAGGGGGAGGGGCAGGGGCAGGGGCACACAGAGGCAGCGGGGCTCAGGGGACGATGTTAAAATGGGCATGAACCGGGGCTGGTCTGGTCGTAAGCAGTACAGGATCTCGACAATAATGGGCTTGTCCGTTTGCGGGAGGAACCTCGCTCCCTCCATGGAGCTGGGATTTGCTTCTCAAATTTGGATATTCCTCAATTATAGACATTGATCTGCCCACTTATACAGTGTATTATACATCATATCGCTTATACTCTACGTCACTCCGCTTATCTACGAGTGGCGTATTCGCGAAGGCTCCCTCCTCTCCGGTCACTCGACAGGCTGGGCCTGTTTTTGGATCGATCGATCGATCGATCAGCCCCCGAGCCTCGCGGGTCACCTGTCAGCACCTGCTTCCGTTGTGCTCCGGGGAGGGACGGGGGCAGAGGGTCCCCTGCGGGGGTCGAGATCCCGTGGACGGCGACATCCATCCGTTACCGTGCACTGCGGGGGTTGTGTCAGGTGATTAGATTAGCCTGTGCTAAATTTAATGTGCTGGGGGAAGGAAGCGCATCCAACCGCGGCATCGATTTGGATTCCGAGTTTCATCTGATGCCATTTCACGGGCGGCTAATGTGCCTGGAATTACTGCGGGCGTGCCAAGTGGTGAGATCGAAAGGAAGCCCCCTGCGAGCCCCTCTGCGAGAATGATGCGGATACGACCAGAGAATAGCAATTCAGCGCACTGAACAAGTGTACTCTGGTTCAACCACATTCAGCGAGCTAGTGGTGGTGGCAGCGGCTCGCGACATGGGGGACGCCAGTAGCTCGTTTCGCCTGGGGCTGCGCTGAGGGGCTACGCTCGCTCATGGCATGCACGAGGGCGAGCGCAGTAGCTCGTTGATTCACGTGAAAGCATTGCGACGTAACGTGTTTTCGCCCATATGCCTTACATCACAGCCTCAAAGGCTGTCTGGCACCATGAATGAGTTGGTTTTCCCCAACACCAAATCTTATTCACAACGAGCTTTCAATGACAACGATGAAGCTTTGACTTCATTCGAAAGACGAACAAAAGCACCTTCATAACTCCAATGCTGTGTCCGTTTCCCTGTCCCTCCCCTTCTTCGCCTTTGCATTGCGAGTCTTACAGCTTGCTCCTCTTCAATGAGGGTACTTCCGACGCTGGGTCTTTGTGTGACATGTACTGTATTTTAATCTGCCTTCAAGTCCCTCGGTGTCCTTCAGCTGGTACTCACCCATGCGAAGATCCATTCTCATGCAACAAAACCAGCCCCCGGTCAAAGACTCAGGACAGCCGATGTTTATGATCAGCGAGGGCCTGGACGGGTGTCCATGAGTGAGGCAGATGGAGAGGGAGATGGAGGTAGGGAGAGAGCGACAAGGGTTTAGTTCTACTGCAGTTGTTTTTGTGTGGTGATATTTCAGGCACAAATGAGATTTCACGCAACGATGCACACCACATCGGATGTATGGCCTTAGCCTGAGGAGGGGCAGTGCGGGTGCACGAAAAGTGGCTCCAGCGTTTCACGTACCGAACGCAAAATCGTAAAAAGTGAGGGGAAAAAGATCAAGCAATGAGACAGGTCCGGGCCAATGGTGGCCACCTCAATGAACACATGAGACAGAGCGGGTCGCAACAGAAGCACACGCGTTACAAGAACTCGATCCGATAGGAAAGGGCATGTACAGACAGACTCGGGGCTTGACCTGAGGCCTGAGACCTGAGGGGGCCTGAGCTGGCCCCCGCTGCCCGGCCAGACAGACGACCATCTCATGGTCGGTGTGGCTCGAGCTTCACCATCACTCCAATGCGGGGGCTGGGGCTGGGGCTGGAGATTTGAACTTCTTCTTCCGCACTCCAAATTGGGGGCTGGATCAGCCCCAGCCCCAGCCCCAGCACGGACGGACAAGTAAGAGGGGCTATGTTCTCGAGCGCCAGGGCTACGATCTGCGACGCTGTTGTAAAGTGATGTACAAGTGTCTCGCGCAGAAAGTAGGAAATAAAATCTATAAATACACGAATTGGACCAATTATGTGGCTCCATATGATTCATGACACACCGGCAGAGCTCGAGCATTTTGACTTTCGAGAGCGATGTGATTCAAATGCCAACCCATTTATCGTTCCGCGTCTCCATAAACGCGAGGAGTTGTTCGGCCGCTTTTTCCTCTTAATTTACCATTTTCTGCCAATTTGACTTACGATCGCTACCGTACTGCTTCGAGCCTTTCCGCTAATTGCCCCCGGAGCCGTCTTCTTCTTCTTATTATTATTATTAATATTCTAATCATCATTCCTTCCACTTCTCCTCGTCCTCGTCCCCTCGTTCACATACGGAACGAAGCGCCATACAATTATACGAGAGATGTAGGCGATGTACAGCTGAGGGCGAGCTGAGCTCGTCTGTACACAAGTGTGCTGCTACTGAGGTCGGCTCGTCCCGTTCAGGGCGCGTCACTGTTGTGCGAAGCAGGAGGATATGGAATGAGCGAGGTCGAGGGGCTTTGTCCGGAAGCAGGTCCCGGACATGTGCCATGACATGAAGAAGAAGGTCGGACCTCGAAGACATGATTTTTGCGGACACAGTTTCCGGTTTTAGGCCCCCATCGTAGCGAGAGATGTGAAGATTTGATCCCCCTCCGTCCCTCCCTCCGCACTCATCTGTCCTCGGCCTCAGAATCTTCTTTTCTCGAAACAACCATACCCAAACACCATGCCCGGTTGCGCGAGTAGCACAGGTCCTGCGGTCTCCGGCCCATGAACATGAACAAGAACACGAGCTTCGCTTACGCTTCGGCCCGTCGAAGCGTTCTGGGTTCACGCTCGGAATCAATCGGTTAGCGCGAATCTCTTGGCCTCTCCTGGATCGTCATGGCGAAGGACCGAAGGCGAAATTGATTTTTTAAAAGGGCAGACCCTCGCCCCGGAAGAAGTACACGCAGCAGATTTGTGGTGGAAGCGAGCCCTCCAGAGGCGCACTGTAGGCCGCGCAGCACATAATTCATCTGCCATACCAGTTCGGCGTTACCCATGAAAATATCATGCGCCCTCTGAGCTTCAAGAGGCCCGAGCCTGTTGCAAGTTTAATAATGGAGCGCGATTATTCTGTCGTCTTACAAATAGACGTATTCATGAGAATCGTCTTCATCAGGGATTTGCTCGTGAGAACGAATTGTGCAGGATCTTATTCCAAATAGTGGCCCGATGCATGTCGCTGGATGCAAGCATGCGACGAGAATGGTGTGATCCGATTATCCGAAGAGCGCATGAGTCAGCCCAGCCCCCGCTCTTCACTTGATGTCATGAAAACGTGACCCAGAATGCGCTCCGATCTACTGGCCGACGGAGTATACCCTCATGCTTTCAAGGGCCGACCGCATTCAAAATGGATTTTACCCAGTCGTGGATTCTAATCCAACACAGACCCTTTTATTTTACACTTTTGTACACTCTGCCCGTTTCGACATGACATCGAGGGAATATCTGGGCCCGAGGCCTTCTCCCTCCCTTGCTTTGCGCCAGTTTTCACCTCCAGTGCACCTCCATCGCAGGCATGAACACATTAATGCACGCAAGAGATACGAGAGCATCTAGGCTTCTTCTAAACACGCTGCAAATAAAAAAAAGTCATTTGGGTAGCTTTCGTTTAGAAGGCTCCTCGTGCTCCTTTTCAGCTTGAGGCATTTCTCCATCCATGGCCCTGCAAACAAACAAGAGTAAAGCATGCACCCCAAGATGAGAACCCAATCTCCATCCATGGCTCTGCAGGCAAACAAGAGTAAGCCATGCACCCCAAAACGAGAACCAAAAATATTTTTACGGATGGATCTGAACTCATTTCGATGGTTCAATTGTTGATGGATTAGTCGGATCGGCGAAAGAGCCGACTAATCAACAATTGAGCTCACATGTGTTTAATGGCTATAGACGCTGATCGTGGAGACTGTGATTTACGAGAATAGTATAATGGCGAATAAGGTTCATGATGAGATGCGAGTTCGCCCAATAGTGGGCCACGAGGTGGGGATCTCAAGTTAGATCAGGTTAGAGGAATAGAAACCCTAAACAGCATAGAACTGTAGTTAGAGGAATAAATACCTGCGAGGAGATTAAACAATGAGGATGATACGGGGCACAAGGCTATGGCCACCAAGCTTACTATTACCAGCACCCGTCACACCACCCTGGCTACAGAAGTCATGAGAACTACGCCCCCCACAGCCAGCCACATGAGAATGTAATGTCTTTGCGACCGATCAACTTTTCACAACGCATTCACGTTGAATTTGCATCTGGGCCGGGCAAGCAAGGGTTTGACTCCGGTGTCAACCTCATGAGATGGACTTCATCTGCATGACATGACACGGTGGGGTGAGAGATAGATCTCCAAATGGTGAGTGGATGCTAACAGGTGAGATATCGAAGGGTTCACATCACACTGCTGCTCGTCTCGGATATGACTAGTCCAAGATTGCAGATCTCTGGATCCATCCACCTCGCACCAAAAGTGGCTCGGCACCACAAGTCCACCAACGGCCGACTTGTGCGTGCTTGACGAAGACAACAAAGCGCGATTTTGTTTTCCATTTTCTCACAATATCATGCGGAAACGGAAACGAGCCCGCCCTGAAATTGGTGAAACCACTGACTTACGAATGCAGGCTACGATACAATTACCCGTCCATGGTTCTCGTTACAGTATCTGACTCCAGCAGAAGGACGTGTCCTCTGGCGAAAGTCCTTCCCTCCCTTGCATCTTGGACATTTCGGACGAGTCTAACCGATCCGCCTCCATGGAACTATTATTCACAGAAACAGTGCAGCAACAGTCACATGAGAAGAAAAATGTAACAGGACCCTACCCACCCGCAAAATTATTGGTAATCCTAGACCAACTTATGACCCGGCCATAGATAGAGTAAGAGTAGATATTGTGTTGACCGGATGGAGCTGAAAACTTGACCGTCCTTCCTTCCTATCATATTAATCTCTTTACGATGGGGACATCGAATATGCATCTGCAGATTTATCAGATATATTCGGTCGAGGTGACTCATTTTTCTTTATTTGGTATATCGTGCTGTTGAAACATTCTACAAAAGCAGATATTATACTCCTACACACACATGCCATATGTTGTAGAATTTCTATATAATGGTTTCATATGTGGAGCAAAAGATGCGAGTATAGGAACTGTATCCATGTATGTCACACTGCATCGACCTGTAGGATCGTATACAAAGGGTTGTGACACCTAGTGACTAATATATGCAAATGACCCAACATTGGATTCAGGTAGAATGCGATCCTTGACCGCTTCCAACCGCCTCAGAATAGAACGCAAGATGCCGACTGAAAATTGGTGTAGCTTTTCAACATGTACGAAGTTCGATATATGGAAGCTCCGAGGGTCATTTCTCTAAAAATCGAATGCTTCTCTCTACTCTAAGAAAAGTAGCTTGCTTTCTCCCATTTCACCTGCAGGTTGCTGGCCACGAGCACCAAGACAAGAGACGAAGTTTGGCGAGTAAAAATAAGATCTGGACGGCTAGGACTGCTGGAGGGTGTAGGGTGGACTGGTGAAAGGTGAGAGGTGAGAAGTGAGAGGTAAAAAAATTTTATGGCGTGAAGTGTGAGGAAAGAAAAGGCAGCAAACCCCTGAAACTATTGGACTGGCACAGGCAGTCCTATGATACGTCGCTGCTGCTGCCCATGGCTACATACATTCCGTGGAACTCAAGAGTTACAGGGGTTTACGAACTCTGCATCATGAACCGTCCCCGGGCCAGATGAGCAGGCGGATCGATCTCAGCTGAGCCCGTCGAATAGTTCGTTAAGGCTTACCAGTCATGGCGCATGTTGGCATGGCAAATGCAGGAAACTTCTGGATAAATTAAAAAATGATTGTTCGCTCTAGTGGCCAGACGATCTAACGCCATGAACATTGTTCTAGATGCATCCAGCTGCCCTCACAGGAACTGCAGCAACGGGACCTAAAGTTGCTGCCGCAACCTTGTCGTTGATGGCATTTGTTTAGTCATTTGGCAACGAGGAATAAGCTCGAAACGAAACGAAACTGGGCTGGACCGGACCGGACCGGGCCGGACCTACTTTGCGTACCTCGATTGTGGGCGAGCAAGCTTGGGTTGTATCCAAAGGCGTTTTCTTCCGGGATGCTGCTGTTATCACGTACAGTAGATTATCTGAATCACAAGTAACCTTGAACTGCATCCACATGAAAGTCGTGAGAACTGTCAATCCATCTGACCAGTTTCAACTCTGGGCCAACCAGATGTCAATGATGCTGAGGTAACATATAAGAGATGCTAAATTCAACAAAGCACACTCTCCCATTCTCACGCGTGTCATGGCAGAGAGAATATGGACACATCAGCCGGCGAGCATAGGAGCATTATTCGATTCCTCCAAGGCCCCCAAGGCCCCCATGGCCCCCTCCCTATTGTTTCGAGCTAGGTCATAAGTCGCACCCACACTCCGCGTCCTGTCTATCTGTCTCCAACTTATGTTTGCATAGGACGACTGACTCCTTTCCGTTCTTCTCGATTCAAACCCCTTGACCACAACAACATCAGCCCCCTCTGGTCAGGCCGAAGCTGAGGTGTTGTGCACTTTGCCGCATAGAAAAACACCGTATGTGATTTGATTCTCACCGGACACGATCCAAGATCACAATACCAGCGAGATTCCTCTCGCTTGATTCGCATGATGTTCTTTATTTGTACCCTCGAAGAACTGCAATGCTAATTCAACATGCCAACTATTGTGTTTTATATCCTCCACCTCCAGAGCCCATTCAAACATGGAAGCGAAACAATTCCCCAAGCAAGCCGAAAGCTGACATTGTTGCCATGACCAGGCTTAGGGCACACTCTTAGCCTACTTGCATCATTAGCTTTGATTCTAATCACCAGACGAACAGCTTGAAAATGGCGAGCAAGTCAAGAACCAAAAAGTTAAGAACCAAAAAGAAAACATATATCTTGGGGATGAGGCATCAAAATTTCTTTAGGGTCGTTCCCATTTCTCAACTTCCACCTTAATACATGAATTCGAAAGATGAAACTACCAATGCACATGGAAATGGACTTGCAGAACACATAGAAGCTCACTTGGCGTGGCACGAAAAAGGCATGCGGAGCTTTGGGGCGAAATCAGCCGGCACCCCCATTTTCTTGCTTTCAAGGCAAATTAAAAGGCACCCAACTGTCAGAACTGCGATATTGCGAGGCGTGTTGGCACGAGAAAAAGGAAAGGGTGAACAAGCTCATGACGACAACCATGCATTGCAACCTCGTGTTCCCACTGCTTTCAGTTCTTGTTGAATTACAGCATAAAATATCTGCAGGATATTGCAAGTGGGATCTTAACGGAGACAAATCCTCCATGTTTCAAACCTGCAATACTCTCTCTGCCTTTTCCTTTTCGACCGGAAACAGCAAGAACAAATGCAGGAAACGTCGTCCAAAAGATCTTCCAAACTGTCCAGTGATCACTTTCCATGAATTCAAGAGGCTAGCATTCGGTCGTCGAAAGCCCATGTTCCTTCCATCTGCACTCTCGAGCACCGTCAAGGGGCCTTCTCCCTTCCAACCAAACCTGCAAACCTCGTACAACCAGAGTCGAGCAACTCGTATCAATAGGAGGAATGTAATCTCCTCGATATGAATGATAAAGAAAGACATAGACAACGTTCTATCTGTTGTAAGTTCATTATAGGGTTGAGGATCGGATATTGCTATGCTAACAAATTTGAAAATATTTGAAATTTAAAAAATATTTGAAATTTGAAAATGTGAGAAATTATATCTGGCAGCAAGCTTTCAGCCCACAAAAATAAAAGGGTCTTAATCTCAGTCCGTATCTATTCATGTGTGTAGGAAGACCGCGGCGCTGAGGAATGTGTGGGTAAAGCAGCACTTCCTCCTTTTGCCAGCATTTGGTCACTTGTCTACAACTCCTCCCAAACATTGAAGTTTTTATGCATCATTAGAATATCGAACTCTGTAAAGAATATTGACTTAATATAGATCTCACTTTGTGCTCTATACTTTCCATAGGAAGATAACCGAGCAGGGAAATGAGGGAAATGAGGGAAAGTGAATATTCTAGTAATCCCTCACAATGCCATCTTCATTTTGGCATTGACCTGACAACATTCCGAGATGTAGGTTCCAAAGTTTATATACTGCAGATAAAAACATAATTGATGGGTAAATAGAGAGAACTCAGTATTAGATCGGTAATGAGAGATTATAAAGTGTTTCCGTTCGTTGGCGTGGTTATTTTCTTCATGCTCGATAAAATTTGTTATTTTCTCCTCTGACAAGCCTAGTTTATTGATAGTCATTGCGGAGTTTCAACCTCGTGAATGCGGTTTTTATCTGGACGTAGCATGTTTGATGAGGTAAACGCGCCTTACCTTGACACATACCTCATTATTATTTTTGGTCAAAGGACCTCCTGTAAAGCACAAGTCAGAATGTTAGGAAGAGAAAGTAAGGTCGGTTTCTTTGCTTGCCCACAATATTAAGTACAATTGTCTTGTTAAATTTTTTTTGGAGGTCACTTAACAAGCCTTTGATCCAATTCTTCTTCTTGCTCAACGTCAATCTCTTTTTGTTAGACTTGATAACCTATTCAATTGTTGTGGTTTTGGCTAGCTTATTAAATCATAAGACTATCTTAATTAAGTGGTCGGTTGGTCTCTCATGCTCCATCCATCCATCCATGAATCATCTTTCTCCACAGCCTTGCTGCATGTTCTGGATGTTTAAAGGTTCTTGCCACCAGCTCATGGACCTGACGGAATGATGAAGAAGGAGTCTTGTGTTGGTGTTTCGTGACATCTCTTGCAAGAGCAACTTAAACCCGATGGACATTCGTACAAAGTTTTAATTTCCCTCTTGGGAACAAGTCGTTACCACCACCATCGAAGGTCGCTCGCCGAGTATGATGGATGCATCGTGAGTCGATTCATGCGTCCAAGGACCAACTGTCAGCAAAATTTATGTGCATATTCCCAAGAACCTATTCATGGGGGGGGAATCAATGAGAACATAACAGCATAAATGCGAGGCCCTCTTTATCTTTTAAGCTTTGAAGTCTGAAGCTTGTTGTGCTACGAGGAGCAATCGACCAGACAGACAGCCATGCATTGCGACATTTGGTCTCTTACTATGTCTGCCCATGGAGCCACAGGCTGAGTTGCTGCTGCTGCTGCTGCTGAGTCTGCATACAGCATAGAGCATGCTGAGTCCTGGCCTGGCCTGGCCCCTGGTCAACCTGAAACTGTGAAGTCCAAAGCCACTGATATCGTTAAAGCTGGACATGCAAAAATCAAGGATGAAAATGATAATTCCCAACATCCATCATGCCCACCTTTCACTTTATCGCCAAACTCTTTTCCTTGCCGCAATTTGGGGACTTCCACCCACACTCACTCACTCACTCACTCACTCACCTCGACATGAATTATCTCAGAATTATCTTTCATCTCGTGACATGATTTCTGAGAAATGCCCACTTGGAGCCAGACTTTTTCTTAGACCCGCCTCAGAATATATAGCCCCATGGTACATGAGAAAGCTGATCTCAACACTAGTTTTGTATCCATCACCATACAAATCAGTCCTTTCGTCTATAAAGTATAATAATTCTGGTCAACATCTGTACTCTCTCCTACATGGGAGGCAGAAAAGCATGAACTTGTCCATTGCTCAAGCCCATGACTCCTCCTCAGGAGCTCTTGTCTTCAGTGGCCGACTTTTGTACCCCACCTCTCTCTCGGTCATGGGTCTTTGGCGGTGATGCTGGCAAGTGTCAAATGCCATCCATAGCTCTCTCGTATTGCAAGCCAACCGCCTTCGTTTCTACCATGCTGCTGAGTTTATCGCCACTGTCACCCTGAAAATGTCACCCTTATAAAAATCAAGTTGTAGGCTTCCTTGACATTGTACATATCCTGGCTGAAATTGTTTCAGATATTCTCAATGAGACTGAAACACCGTAGTCCAGACTTTTTTAACGACAACCTCTATACATTGCCCATGTGTTGATTTATCAGTTGATTCCAAATACTTTTTTCCAGCACTCAACACTATTGTCTACAATCAAATTTATAGTCAGTCTAGATATGTGAATCACATGTCTCCCCACCTAGATTGGATTTTGGATAGGAAGAAATATTGAACTTTGCATAAGTTTTTTATAATTATGGATGAGATGTATGAAAAAAATTCTTATCTCCTAGATCACAAACTCATATGATGAATCAACCTCATTTTATATTTTTATAGAGAACTTATCATCTTTGAAAAATATGAAATAATTTCGATAGATTTTTCAAGTAAAGATTACTTAAAAATGAAAAATAAAGAATTTTTTTCATAGTACACATAAAAATTCATTCAAAATTCACTGGAATATTATGAAATTGAATATAGAGTCCTGTTATTGCGGAAATTTTCTTTTTTAGAAAAGAATAATTTCAAATATGTAATCAAATTCCATTTCACAACACAATTTTTTTAATAATGATTCTATATATTTTCATGGAATATATTTACATATGTATATGTATTATAATTATTTGGCATTTTGAAAACATCAGAGTAATGAATATCAAGAATAAATTTTTTTAGCAAGAATGAATCCATGGATAGTTTCTGAAGCTTGTTTTTCTATAATTGAACAATTGAAATTTTATTGGTATCTATACTTTAAGACATTTTGAGGTTATTTTAATGCATTTGCTTTGTGTTTCATCGTATCTTGTGTCAAAACCATGTCATTGAGTAAAGGTTATAGTATCTACGCAAGAGTCATGGCAATCTCATGTTCATATTGAATGTATGTTGATATGTAGCGGTGAAATGTACTTACATTTGAATATTTTATGTTAATTTTACTTTTTCATCCATGATGTGTACTTATAAATTATAATTATTCTTTGCAAATTTTATGACAGAAACTTCTCGTATGACAACTCATGCAATCGTTGTTTCATAAGCTATATATATTTTAATTCATATTTGATTATAATAAAAAATCTACCTCTCCTTAAGCGCGTTTTTAGAAAAATCATATTAAAGGAGAATTTTTTATGATTCGTCTTTCATTCAAGGGGAGAATATTCTGGTCTTGTCGGTCACAATATCGTTACGAGATTCTACACATCGTGGCATGCTTTAGTCATTTTTTTAATTGCCTCTCAGATGAGATTTCCCACTTTCTGCGTTGTGTATTGCATAATGTATTTCAAACGGCCAATGGGAATGAACAATGGAGCTAGAATTTGGGGTTAATCTTTGGTGGCCATGATATTGTTGTTAAGCATGTTATAAGGTTCTTGTGGTGAACGTGCATATTATCAATTTGTGTAAGCTAGATAAATAAATGAATGATGATCACCATTCCACTGTATAACGTCGGAATTGATTGCCAAACTGTAGTGTTATGGGAGATATTCCGACCAGAAATGATTGTTCATTTTCTGGTCACCTGCAATCGTGGACTGGAGAGTCTTCCTTCAGGAATTGTGTAATTGAATTTGATGGCGTGGTATGTACTCGATGGCTTACAGATCAAACTGTTCTCCTGCTATGCCTCGCCTGGAATTAAGAATTATTCTCCATCAAGATACTGACCTTTTAGCAGTCGTTGATCGCAAAATGTGAAAAAGGGAGTTGAAAATAAATGAGCTCCCACTGCAAGTTTATCGAAATTGAAGTCAATTCTCCTTCGATTTGACGCGTCAAAAGCAAGGGTTAAATCGCCATGTTCATCATCGAGTACCCTCAAGAGCCTCTCTTAATAAAAATAGCAAAATTTTTTAGTTGGGTCAGTAAACATTTTCGCAAATCGGTTTATAAAAAAATGTTAAAAAAGCGGAAAATTAAAATTTATAACCGGAAATAATTACATAATAATTTTTATCGTCAAGCCTCAAATGTGACACTCAAGGTTTCAGGATAGGGTTTCCCAAAAAGTTCATCGGCATGGACTATTACCGAGAACTTGTCCTCCCATTTCCGTAACATTTCTCCACTAAGCTGTGCATCAATGTTGTCATACTCATGGGAGAATCGGAGCAAGCAAAAAAGCAAAATTATATCCAAAGCTTCGAGGTGAATTTTTTGATTTATGGAACATTATCTTAAAATTGAGAGGAATGAGTTTTTCCCCGTTAAAATTCTAGCGGTTCCCTCTTAAAACTCCATAGTTAGTTCGAAGACAATATATCATCTTCTGCTTTTATGAGCTCTCCACTCCTTTCTACGAGATATATACAATCTCGTAGAAAGGAAGAAACAAGAACAAAGTTGAAGAATGCACATTATTATCTCATCCATGTATCAGCCGATGATCTAAGGAATTCTGATCTGGCACTCGAGAGCTAATACGGGCATCCATAATGCCAACATGCAGTGATAATGATTGTGAGCACTTTGAGAGAGCGAGATCACAGCTGAAGCAGATTGTGAAGATACTAATGATCTCTTAGGAGTATTCTTCTATGGACATTTACTCCTAAGCAGTATTTAAGAGGTGAACCATGTGTTTCATGTCGTCACATTGTTGTGTGGACACAAGATGTACATGTGAAGTCCATCCCAAATTCTTGTCTGAATGGATTCGCCGATTGCTCTGTCTTTGCATATCGTCCAGTTTTTTTTTATAAGAAGCATGTCGAAAGTAGAGCACCTGTGAATGAAAAAAAGAAATCAGATACTATGTGCACATAAAAATCTACTGGACATTATTATTATTGTTATTATTATTTGATTCCTTTTGGGAATATAGATAATAAGCTCAATATAATAGTAATAAGAATAATAATTTATGCAAAGGCTTGTTGCATAGATACTTATTTTCGTGTCGAATGGTTGCATAAGGAGTTGCGAGGATAAAATCCGAGCCAAGATGGTTGATATTCGGGCTGTTTGGCCGAAAATCAGAGCTACGGTGGCTGAGCAACGGAAGCGTTCGGTGCGATAATCATTCGAAGAGCAGCTCAGCCGAACAGAGCATTGATACTGGTCATCTGACCCGCCTTTACCTCGCACAACCATATCGCAGCCGCCTGGGTATGAGAGCACATGCTCACGAGCGATCGAGTGGTTAAATGGTTACGTGGTTGGTGTTAAAGGCAGGCAGTGGTGGTGAAGCCGGACTGCAGTAGAGGGCATGAAACCGAATACGGCAGTTAAGATAGGAACGGAACAGGAGGAAAAGCGATGAATCTCAGTGCGAGGCGGAGCTGAGCCGAGCTCGCCAGCCACGGCACGCGAGCGACGTGACGTGGTGGAGGGTTGGTTGGAGGGAGTTGCCCGAACACGGTCACGGTCGATCCACGGTTGGAACTGGGATGAGCTCCGGTCGGTCACAAGTTGGGCGATGGTGTCCGCTGTCCGGGTGTGCGTCCCTGGGGCGAGGCAGTCCGAACATCTGCCAACCGCGCAACTGCATGCATCGCGGCCGAGAGAAGGGGGTGGGGCTGGGCTTGGGGGCTGGGCTTGGAGGGTGGGGCTTGTAAGGGTGAGTGAGTTCTAAGAATGGCTTTTTGAGCTTTAGCCAAAAGGCTTCCCCACACGAACGAGCATTTATATCGTCGTCAAAGCATCGTCCAATGATGAGACTGAGCCATATGAATCCTCCCCAACCGAGTCCGCATTGTCACCGGATTAGAATAGCCACCCCACCCCCCCGCCCGGTAAAAGCAAAGCAACGCAGGCCAGGGCGATTTACGCCGGTTTCTCACTTCCCGCTCCCCCCGAAGAGGGGAGAGTTACGAGGCTCCAACGTTTCTGCCTTCCAACCGGGCAGCCGCGGCCGCTCCCCCACTGCTCGGGCACTGCGGGCCCGTCAAAGTAACCTTGGTAGAAGACACGATCCGAACTGATGGAGATTTCCGTTCCTTTCCGTTCTGTTCCGTTCGTTTTGGTGTTCGAGTGGTCTAGACTGGACAGAGCATCCGGAGGTTATACCTCGGGGCTCCTTAACCTCCGTGAGTTAAAGGAATCCCCCGATCGGCCCCTCTTTGCTTATTGAGGGAGGCCTCGTCTGCGCGCGAGATAGAAAAAGAGATGTCGCGAGCATCTTCAGATTCTCGAATCATCCCGTCCTGACGATCGCGGCGACGGCCCCGGAGGTTCCCGTTCGCCGTCGAAGAGGGACAGCGAGGCGAGCGTCGGAGCTCTTTCCGATTAATAGACGCCGGCGTCGTCGTTTTGCGAACTTTCCAGCGGCTCTCTCGATGGATCTGGCGTCGCGAATCGCACCGGGGGCCTAGCGGCTGAACCCTCAGCGTAGGCGCGTGATTACGAAGCGTCCTGGCACGGATAGCGAGCCCACGTGGCGGGAGAGGACTGGAGGGAGAGGGTCCGACGGCCAAACGCGAGGAGGGTCGGGCGACGAAAAGCGGCCAGGTCGATCATTGGGGCCTCCGGCGTGTTGCGATGGAGCCACTGCTAATAGCGACGTTGGCTTTCTCGTCGTCCTGCTGGGACAAGGCTACAGTCGCCCACTGCTGCCGCAGGTGGCGTCAGACGGGGCTTGCCTGTACAGCCGGCCCGCGAGCGACCGGTTGCTGCAGCCGGGACGGGGGGGTGGGGGGAGTGGGGGTGGCTCGGGCGGGGCTTCTTCGAGCAGATGCCCGGTTCCAGAACATTGATTGAGAAGCAGGCGAGCCATGACCGGACACCGAGGGTTCGAGCAAGGGGCCCGCCCGGCCCCGCGGACCTCTGGTTGCGCGAGGGCCCCGGTCGGAAGGAGTAAGTAGCTTTCCCCCGGGGCAAGTAAATGCCTCCAGGATTTACTCCTGGCCAGTGTGGGTTCCTGAGGGGTGGGTATGGTCGATACACATGTATGGTGCAGTGAGGGACGCAGGGGGTAATGGATGATGGGCAAATATGTGACATGCCATGCGATTACCTACATGGGCGACCACGTCATGCCCAACTGGCCCGGACTGGAGCGGAGCAGACCAGCGCAACCCGTATAATGCGAGTTTGTACAAGAACAAACAGAAAGGAGGAGGAGGGGGGTGGGGAAGCGGAAGGAGGGGGAGGAGGATGGGGGGTGGCGGATGGGAAGGGGGAAAGGAGGGGTTGCTAATGGCTGGCTGACCGCACACAGAAGGGCAAAGGGGGAAAATACACACTTTTGGGATGGCACACGTAAAAACAAGCGCACAGAGGCTCGCGCACCTGCGAGCAGCGGGCGGGGGGCTGCGGTCAGGGTGCAAGAGGAATAGAAAGCACGCATTGACAATCATTGTCAGCCATTACGCTGGGCCGCTCAGTTCCACGCCCGGTTCGGGGCGAACGAACGCTCACCATCCAAAGCCCACCACCACCCTCCAGCCCGGACCTGAGCCGGGTTCGGTGCTTCGTCCGACTTCTGCTCCTTCCCCCATTCTAAACGGGGCTCGGCCTCCGCTCGCTCGCCCTCCTCCCTTCCTTTTCCGTTCTCCCGACAGTCAGGCTGCCCGCCCGCCCGCCCGAGGAGACCGAGGACGAGCAAGGCCCTGATGGCCATGCCGCTGCTGTTGGTCGCTCCGACGCCCTCCCCTCCCGCCAGCCAGCCCGCCAGCCTGCCTGCCTGCCCGCCCTGCCCTGCCCTGCCCCGCCCCGCCCTGTCTCAAGCCCAGGCCATCCTCTCCTCTCGTTAGCCCCCTGCTCTGCCCCCCATCCCCCCTTTTCTGCTCTGCTCAAGCGAACGAACGAACCAACGAACGAATGACCGACCGACCGACCGAACGAAAGGGAAGGGAAGGGGGAAGCAAGCGAACGAACGAAGGAAGTAACGAAGGGAAGGGAGGGGGCTCGGCTCCGATCAGCATAGACTACGTACTCAACAGGAGAGGGAGAAGGGAAGGAAGGAAGGAAGGAAGGAGCGGAAGGAAGGAAAAGGAAGGAAAGGGAAGGAAGCAGGGGGTCGGGGGCAGGGGGTGGGGGCTGAGAGAGCGAGAGCGAGAGAGCGAGAGAGGGGGCGAGGGGGGGAGGAGGTAGTAGGCGAGCGAGGGCGATCGCTTGGACAGCTTTCTAGCCACAGCGAGTGCAGCAGCACAACAGCAGAGCAGAAGGAGGGAGAGAGAAGAGAGTGAGAGAGAGAGAGAGCGAGAAGAGCAGAAGAAGGGAGAGGAGAAGAAGAAGAGCTGCAGTGGACTGAGGTGGACAGATAGAAGAGGAGCGGAGCAGGGAAGCAGAGAAGTCGAGCAGAGAGAGATCTGGAGAGTACTTGACCATTTTTTGGAGGAGGACTCTACTCTCTCGGACACGACGGACGACGCAGAAGAAGTTGAAGTCGAGGTGCGAGGAGGAGACGAGAGGAGAGGAGCGGAGCGGAGGAAAGGAAGAGGACGGAGCAGCAGCAGCAGCAGCAGCAGCAGCGGCAGCGGAGCTGAGCAGCAGGAGAAGAAGGAGCATCTGCTTTTTGGGTCGCTAGCGTATGTGTGGAGGAGTTCATCGGAAGAGGGGAGTGTACTATCAGGTGTGGACACGGAGAGAGAAAGTTCGTCTTGAGGTGTTGTAGATCCTGGATCAATTTCGGTCGTGAATTTTGACGCTGAACGCAGTGTCCTTATTGGCTTTTGTCCCTAGGTGGTCTCTGATCCAACTCTGCTGCACAGCTGGTCCATGATACAGCCTCTCGGATTAGATTGCAACGCGCCCGCCCCCGAGCTCCTTCGATTGTCTCCTCGAGCACCTGCATCTGTCTGAATCTGGCACTGCAATCTGAGATTCCCCTCTCATCCTCGCGCGGAGAGGAGCTCAAATTGACGGCATTGCGCGGAGTTTCCAGGGTTAGGACTGTAGGAAGAGGTTCATAGAAAAGAAAGCGGGTATGTTTGATGGAATATTATGCAGGACAAGGGGCTCCCTCTTCATTCGCAGGTCTTGAAGGTACCGTCAGCGACCCGAATACTGGGGCAGTTCTCTCCTCTTTATCTCGCTCCGAGGATTGGCATCTCAGACATGGTGCTCCCTCCCCTGCCAGCACGGCCGCTGAAACCGGCCTTGAAGGTGAGTCCTCCTCCCCCCTCCCCCTCTCGTCCTCCATCTCTCGTCCATAACTGCTGCGCTTAAGCATCTCTCTTCCTCCTCTTCGCTCGGACCTCTTGCCGGACCCTCTACCGCGACCCCGCGCTGCTATGCGAGTGCGATTGCGCCATCGCGGCCCCTTCCGCGAGCTCGATGCGCGACTGGCACGACGACGAAGCGAGCGAAATCAGGCATCCATTCGCCCGCCGTGTTAGCCCCCGTCGGGCCCCGCATCGAGGAGGTCGTCGGGCGGAGCGATACGGGAGGGGGGGAGGGGCTCGGGCTTGGGCTTGTGGCTGTAGTTCACATGACAGTCGGAGGGCCAATTCGACGACGACGGCGCTTAAGTCTGTCCGACGTCGGGGCACGAACCGGGCACTGACGGCGGATCTACCGAGCCAGGCAGTCGAGGGTTTGTACCAAACTCGTACGAACATGCGCTAGCTGGCTTCCATTCCTGTGGGGGCAGGCACGGCCTGCGCTTGGCAGGAATGTGCAATTCGTGAAAGAAACCGTGTCGCTCGGTCGTCGATGTGGCGGAAATCTGTGGCTCCTCGATTGGTCGATCACGTCCATGTGTCGACGAGGACGAGAGCCAAAGAGAGAGAGAGAGAGAGAGAGAGCGAGAGAGAAGAGGGAAGAGGGAAGAGAAGAAGGTGAGGGAAGGGAGATCACGTGCGCTCGAACAGCGAAGGGGATGCATCAGCAGCTTTGGAGGGAGGCTGCGAGGGTGCGATTGGGGAATGTTGCGCGAAGCCGATGTTGCATCCGAGCGGGGGTGTGGGGTGGAGTGATGGGACCCGGACTGAGGTCGAGGTCGAGGTGGCATGGCGGGGGTGGTCGATGAGCAGAGCGGGGAGAGAGGATTGAGATGAATGTTTTGCAATCTATGTTTGTGTCTTATTGCATGGTGGGCGCGGCTCGGACGACTCACGCCCGTGGAGAAGTGTGTCGAGGATGGATAGATCAATGCAGCAAGTGCGGAGGTGGTTAAGTGATTGCATGTCCTACCCGATCACGCATCAATTATGTCATCGCAATTCTCCAACCAATCGCCTGGTGTCCCTCTACATTGGATGCAGATCAACCTCGTGTGAGCTTTGTCGAGGCTTTTGCCCGTCGTCCCTCCCTCCCCTCCTTCCCTCTCGTCGCCCTTGCACAGATCGATTCTGCTTCTCGACGGCTGAAAACCTAGTCTTTGAAATTGTGCGCTGCCCTCCCGCTGCCTCCGTTGCCCTAGTCGCACCAGGCTCTCAGATGTGTAGTTCGGAGCTGAGCTGGGGTCCGGCACGAGTTGAATCTGCCATCGCCGGAGCCGAAAATGTGGTTGTGATCAGAGCTTTCCACCGATTGGGCTCGACAGCTTGACTAAGTGCAAATGTGTCGTGCGTCGTGCAGAAGCAGTGTGGCAGCAGATGACCGGGATGACGTTGCAGCCACAGGAAGGGATGGAGGCACCGCAAGGCCCTTACCCGGAGCGCTCAGGTGAACCTGATTGCACGTATTACATGCGCACTGGCCTCTGTGGATTTGGCATGAGTTGCCGCTTCAATCATCCCCCCAACCGGAAGTTGGTAAGATTTCTAGTCCCACCCTGTGATTGTGCCCAGAGCACTGATCACGTCACCATCTAGCAATCGCAGGTGGAAATTCTGCAGCGCAGCTAGATTGCGGACGCCCATTGTTATTGACTTCCGTTGCCGCATTTAGATCGTTCCTCTGCCCGCGGTTGTGAGACACAGCGAAGCAATTTTCTTGGAGCCCTAGTGTGTAGTGAATCTTTGACAGTCGAGAGGTCCTCGCCATTCAACGAATTGAACTACTCCAAATGATGCAGAGAAAGCCTGTCGGTATTCTGTTTGTTCCTCTGGCCCTGTTTCGGCAGACATGTGCAACCAACCTTCCGATGAGGCCGCCGTCTATCAGTCTCTCCGGCATCTCGTCCGCAAGGACTGTAATCGAATTTTGGTTGTTCACTAGTTAGGTTTCCTTGCAAGCAGAGATTGTGACACTTTGGAATGGGCATGGTGCAGGCTGCGGCAGTGGCTCGCAATAAAGGCGAGTACCCAGAAAGGCTCGGTCAGCCGGAATGCCAGGTATGTCAGACCTTCCATTATTCGGGGTGGGTAGGGTGAAGCCATGACATCTGTAGTCTGGGAGGAAATTGCTGCCAGATGTAGAATCATCGGGGTGATGATGAGCGATAAGCATAAGCAAGCGAACGATCTGAACGACAAATTCGGTTCGCTATCTGGGCCACCGAGAAGTAAGGAGTCAGGACGTTGCTTGAGGGACGTCCCTGCTTGTTCATCCCTGAAGTTCATTTTGCAATTGTCAGTGATGCTTGAATTCCACCATCGTAGTTTAATTTGGAATCAGGGCTGGGGCGGAGGTTTCTTGGGGCACGGACATACGGGACTTTTTCCTTTTCCTGACTGGTTGATTAAAAGAGATGGTTTGTTCAGTTGGGATTGGCACGTTTCTTTCTCTGCAAAACAATCCCTTAGGACATCGTCTCACGGTCCCGCGCATTCCGTCACACTCTGAAAGTTTTCCATGTTACCATAGGGCATTATAGAACGCAACGTTGTTGTTGGAGGTGTAGTTTGGTCTTCGAATGAAGCCATTATAGTGTGGTGCGCGTCCTTGCTCTATGATTTAGCTATTGGGCCAGAAAGGAGAGAGTTCGAGCCTATCGGGGCAACCATCGTAGCTGGGATTTTGTGAAAACAAGCCCGGTACTTTCAAGCCATGTTTAAAATTGAATGTATATTGTAATGGATATTCAGCCTTGCAAATTGACACATACAGGCACGAAGTTTCGAGGCTGGCAGTTGTTTCCAACGACTGGTGTTGTCTTCGAAATGTTTTGTCCTATCAGGATTCCGGCCTAAGTGCTGGGTTTGTCCAACCTGAAATGGGAATGCCTTGTTTTTGCGATGGATTTTGATGTACTGGCCTACCGTATGGTGTATTGGATTCCCCTCTTGTTTTTCAAGCCTTATCGAATGATAGTGAAAATTATCTTCGAAGGCAATGAAGACATTGAACTTTGGTTTGATGGGTCGTTGGGGTTTGGTTGCACTTGCCGTCAATGTTGGTAGAAAGCACTTTTCCTAGTGTGTTTAGCAAAAGGCATTCACCTTCGTTGTTAGATTAGATTTGAGTATGGAATATTTGTGAAATTTCTGTTTTTAGATTGTTAGTTAAATTTTCATTGATAGTCTCTTTGAGACTCTGTTAGAATGTCGCGAGTGGAAGGACTCGAGGGACATGTTTAGGGTCCTTTCACCAGTGAGACACCCCCGTTCTTTGTCTTTGGTGTCTCCTGTCAAGTCCCGGCTAGTATCTGATGTATGCCGCACAATTCCATTAAGAACTTCCATCTCTTTCAACCGTCGTCTGCTTGCTGTTTTTTGAGTTTGGCTAATCCGTTCTTACAAAACACAAATGACATGTTTTAAGGACGTTGTTTCTGCTTAATGAAAGTGGCGAGTTGTCTTTTCACTTCAACGTTGTTGCTGATGTCATAGTCCACAGCAACAGTATGAAACTCTGTTACGCACTCTTACATAAAGTGGTATCTCAAATTTTAGCTTTCAGTTTAGCAGGACACCATGGCCTCGTATTAATGGCCTTCAACCTTCTCATGCTTGTTGTCCTTTTGAGTTCTTAGCACTTGGATACGGGCCCACCCATGGAGTCCCTCAATTGTGTTGCAATTTGACTATGATTATCTCTGAGTACCGTAGTTCGAACTTCGTCGGCTTCATGTTCAAAACTGGAAACTTGTTCAGAGGCCTTCACGCCCCCAGTGAGGTAGACTTGTGGATCAATGCTTCTTTCGCTGCGTAGTTTGCGTCTCTTTCTGATTTAGAGCTTGGATTGACTCGCATCCACCTGAAGGTAAAAAGTATGAAACTTCTAGGCATGTCTTGCAGGGAACCTTTGGCACAATCCGTTTCAGGCATCAATCTTTGCCCAAACATGCGAGTGTGTAGTATAGAAAACAGGAATACTCTCCTACTTATTCTGTCGTGGGCTGTTTCATTCCAGTACTATTTGAAGACGGGAACATGCAAATTTGGAGCCACATGCAAGTATCATCACCCCCGAGATAAGGCCGGATCAACAGGGAGAGTGCAACTAAATATCCTGGGTCTACCCTTGCGACCGGTACGTGTCTATCGTAAATCTTTGTGTTCGTAACGCTTAATCCTTCGACACGTTTGCCATTCGCTTGTTGTGGGCACTTCTCTTTAAGCACTCGGAGTTTTCTGGTTTGCAATGCACCATGCTGCGTGGCAATGTTGTATGTCTTTCTTCAGCAGCCGAGTGATTATTACGCATGTGACTGTCGTATTTTTCATACCTCAAACAACTACTAATATCTGAGACGTGGATGTCTCACAAAGTAGTCTTTAACACCTCTCACGAAGGATGCGCAATGATTAGTTCGTATTTTTGTTGTTGTGAGTTTCCTCCTAGTTCCAATATTCTATTAGTAGACAAGCTTGCCTGCAGAGGGGATTGGACTTAGACGCAGAAGGAAAGACAACTGAGTCCGTTTTGTTGCACTTACTAATCGTCACGTCTGAATTTTTTTCGATTTCTTGTATTCGTGCCTTGCCGTTGGAAAGTGGTCCGCCTTTCCTGCTTGCCTATGCCCAATAGTTAGCACACCTGTAGATGGCAACAACAAATAGCAGCTGGGGGCCTTTGAGGAACGTAAATGTTGTTTTTTTTTTCCTTTATCTTCAGAGGATGGTTTCAAATGGCATATTTGTTTCTATCGACAGGGCGAGAAGGAGTGTGCGTACTACATGAGGACCGGCTCTTGCAAGTATAACGTGACATGCAAGTTTCATCATCCGCAACCCGCAACTGTGGGAGTTGTGCCCATGTCAGGCTCATCCATTTATGCAGCACCGGGGCCATCTTCGCCTGCCCCTCAACCTTATCAAGGACTTCCAACATGGCCGATCGCTAGGACTCCTTACATGCCCAGCCCACGCATCCAAGGTCCCTCTAACTATGGAGCCATGATTCTTCCTGCCCAAGGCCTTGTCGGATTGCCGGCGGGATGGAGCACATATCAAGTGAGAAAATATTCTTGGGCCAAGTTTTTGTTGCCTCGATGCTTTTCAATTCTGTCGCTCGCAATTGTGGTCGGCTTTTCTGCTCCTCGCGGGCTCTTTCGTCCTCGTACTTGATCAATGCGGACACTTCTAAAGATTCTTGTTAGACGAGAGAAAGTTGTATGAATTTGTATAGGGCTGGAAGAGAAGACTGACGTGTGCGAGGCAGGGAGAATAGAGAGTAAATTGTACAATTTTACAGCCAGCAGGGTGGAATTGTTCATTCAAAGAAGTCTTATTCTACTTCGTCTTTCTAAGACTTCACACTGACCGTCTCTTGAGATGCCGTGGTCTGAGTCTTACTTCATTGGTTCTTGCAGGGACCTGTTGGCCCAATGGCATCACCAGAAGGTCAACAACATCCCATTGGAACAGGATTTGTCTACACACAACAGAGTGATCCTGTATCTGGAGGAGTTCATGGGACTTTTCCACAATTCATGCCAGCAACAACTGCAATGGGGTTGCCAGCTCTACAACCACAGCAATCCTTGGGGTCACAAAAAGATAATTTCCCTGAAAGACCAGGACAGCCCGAGTGCCAGTATTACATGAAAACAGGGGACTGCAAATTTGGCATTACTTGCAAGTACCACCATCCTAAGGATAGGGCTACTCCATCACCAACATGTGGACTAAGTCCGATTGGTCTGCCATTGCGTCCGGTAAGTTTACACAAAGATCATGACTATATATTGTTTGTTTGAGATTCTGCCGAGGGTTCCATCTACAGTAGGGACACTTGATGACGTCTGTGACTTACTTACATCTCGTCACTGGGCATGTGCTTATCAGGGGGCTCAACCTTGTACCTTCTACACTCGGTACGGGATCTGCAAATTTGGGCCTACGTGCAAGTTCGATCACCCACTGGGAGGCTTACCTTACAGTCCATCAGCATCTTCTCTCACTGATATGCCGGTTGCTCCATATCCCATAGGGTCTTCTCCAACAACTCTTGCCCCTTCATCATCCTCCTCGGAAACCCCTCAGGAAGCACCACCACAACCATTCGTTTCGAGTTCATCGAATGAACCCGCTGCTGTTGCTGAAGAGCCACCAGGGCATAACCAGTCTAGAGAGGGAGCGAACGATGCACCTCAAAGTTCTGGGACAACAGGGCCCATTTTAGCACAAGCAGGCCAGAGTTTGTCCATGTCAGGGTCCAGCCCAGGCACTGGGAGTGCAAACCCAGCCGACATTCTTGGCGCAAGCTGAGGCGGAGTCTCCGAGCGAGATTTTCTTGCAAACCCAATACACGAGTCCTTCACAGGCCCCTTTTTTTTTTTTCCACATTCTTCCCCTTCAATAGGCTCAAAGGTGGCATCTAATAAGGCTACATCCTGAGCCATAAAAGCATTGATCAAATTATGCTGAAGGATATCTTCCAGGACTATCCTGCTGTATATTGCTACTAAGAGGGTGATCCAAAACCTTTGTGGGGGGCGTTCTCCCTCCCTCTCTATCTCCCCGACTCTCTGCTCCTTTGTCTTCCTCACTTTTCGCGTTTAATTTGGTCCAAAGCTCCTGCCCCTTAGGTCTCTCAATTTATTGTTCTTTTTGGTCGTTTATTTAAACCTTTTCAGCATTCCAGCACATCCTTTCCCCACATGGAACTGCAAAGAGGAGACAAGTTCTCTTTTCCCTTTAGACTCTGCATTGGTTAGCGCTTTAGGCACATCGCCTAAGGTCCACAAATAATGATTGATTACCGCCCACTGCTGTAAGCCCGCGGCTCACTTTGTATGGCCTCAGATGCAATTGGGCTCTTCATGATTTCGTTTCTCACAGTGACTTCCAGGCATGCTCTGGTAGGAGGGCTTGCCAACATTTGTTATAGAATGCCGAATTGTTCAAAAATTTTAAGATTGAAAGAGATTTCATGAGCTGGTGAAGCCTCCCATTTCAATGGAGAGTCCGAGCTTTGTGCACAAATTACTCAGTTTTATTCGGCCATTTTTCTTGGAGCAAAATGTGTTGGGCTGGGATTGTGAGTTAGTTGTGAGCTTGCTGTAGCTAGCGAACTGTCATCGAAGACAGTTCGCTAGCTTGTTATCTACGCTGCAGGAAAGGTTTACTAAGAATTTGTTGAGATTTGGTGCTTTGAGAGTTAGGGAATGACTATGAGACTTCGTCGTTTGGAGATTTATGTCAGAATGCCTAGCATATATGCATGTGTTGATAGTAAGTCCCACTTCGTCATTCTTTCGTCCCTTAATCTTCTTTGAAGTTCATCAGTTTGTTTTCACACCATCGAATAGTTGGGGTTGACAGATATAAGGATGGTCGTGAATCTCAGAGGATTGAGTAGAGGGTATCTGACTATCCTATTCTCATGACTATAAAATAACACTTTGTTGAACTGACTAGATAATGATTAGGTTATGTCGTTCCGTTGGCGTGAAAGTTCTAGAAAAGTTAATTCCCTACGCTTTTGTTTCAACTGTAAATCTTGTCATCACCCAAGTATGCGGCAAAACCGCGGATTTGAAACCTCCAGGAAAGGAGAATATTCTGCATTTAGCATCAGAGTACTGAAAACTATCACGATCTTAGCATCCTAATTATGAAGGTTTCTCGTAAATTGTGAAGAGTAATGGAAGAAGGAACTGTACGGTAAGCATTGTTTTCCGAGCGATACTTGCATGATCCTACCAAAGTGTTTCCATTTAAGCAGTCTCTCATGAGAAGTATTATTCTCTGAAATAAGTCGTGCATCAAATTAGCGATAAATGCTTTTCTGGCATATTTAGACTTCGACTTCCACTACTTTGAAATTTCAATTCATTTGAGGACTACTACATATTCCCAACGGCAGAGACAGTAAAACATAGAATTTGAAATGGTGTGGGTAACGCAGTTGATTACATTCTTATGCTACGGTAAAATGGAACGAACTGCACCCATGGTATTTTTGTAAGAGCTGAGAAGTCAATTAAAGGGTCGAAGAACAAAACTAAGAGTGAATGAGAAGTAGGTTGCATTCTTAAGATCGTCGATATATATTCGTGAAGATTACATGACCTTTTGACCGTGCAATTCGAAAACGTTGCATCAAGTAAATTATGATATTCTACTATAGCACGAAGCACGTCCAAAGTCAACTCTGCTTCTAAATGAAGACGTCAGTACTAATGCTTTAAGCTCAATACTTACCGCGAAGAGGAAAAAAATTGCACTATTTGAATATAAAAGGATAAATATCTTTAGACAGAAAAATTCGATGTGAAGCTAGATTCTGATTGAATTGTGTACTTCACATCCATAAGAATCTTTGTGAGTTGTTTATAGTATCTGAAATGTAATATATCATTGAAGAGTCAGTAGTAAATGAAATTGTGTGTAATATCTTACATTTTGATCAAAGTTCTTAGGACATATATAGAATTGTGTTTGGATCTAGGTGTATTATTTACGTACTGTTTTGTGTAAGTTTTGACTTGATAGGTGTAGATGAAATATTTAGTTGAAATCAAACGGAGTTCAGTGTACTTTGAACTTGCCATGGTAAGATTGTTATAGCTTTGTCTTTTACACGATTTATTGATGATTTGACTATTTGGTTTCCATTGAAAGCATGGAAGCTTCACAATGATAATGTCTTCCCACTATTCAATGTTCCCTGTTTTCAATTTAAACCCGTTTGAAATTAAACTTGCAACTCTACAGAATCTATGTGATTTTATTTCATGAAAAGAATTTATCGACATAATTATATTTACTGGAAAAATTTGTGTTGTACTTGTGACACTAGTAAATTGAATGAGAAAAGAAGTATCAATTATATTTTGAAAATTTAATCATGGATTTTTATCTTCATTTGTAACTTAGATTGTAACAATATACCATACTATGATGCAATTGAAATCATTTTATTTTTTTCATAGATAATCTATTCAATAAAGTTTGAAAAGGATATTAATGTGGATTGTGTAAATAAACACAAAATATTTGCAACACAATACACTTGTATCATAGAAATATACTAATATACAAAGATGAAAAATAATAAAAACAGTTTTTGCAGATATAATTTTTAAAAAATGATTAAAGATTTACAGAAATCATCCTTATCACATGCTCTTTTCAGATTGTTTTTTTAGAATAATTAATTTTTTATTAGATGATCAAATATTTTTAAAATACTAGAAATCTTAAATTAAAATCTATTATTAAAATAAAAAAAAACTACGCAAACATGAAAGAGTTTGAAATATTTATTATGAGTTATTTTGAAATTTAGAATCCAATAATTATACTTTATGAAAATTAAGGAAATAAATGTTGTAGCAGAAAAATTAATGTAAGTAAAAATTATGATTATAAACTACTTGGATAAATTTTTTTTCACTTGTTTGACTGTTCTTGCATGTTCAAGCTCGTTATATCTAAATTATCTTAAAAATGTTAAAATTTCAGAAATTACTGTTAATGAATATTATTTAAATGTTAAAAATACTAATTCGAAGAATATAACTTTAGAGAAAATTAGTTTTTTCTATCTTAAAATTTATGTGAATTAATGTTGAATGGAATTAAACGCATATTTAAAAAAACTGTCTTATTTTTATATGTATTTTCAATCATCATTAAACATGTCATAATCACATAAATTTTACAAATTGCAGTTTTTTTTAAATTTATGATCAAATTTTTGTTCATAATTGATATTAATATTAACTAGAAAAATATTCTCAATGTCAGAATTTTTTTTGAAATATTTTGTATCTGATCTATTTATTGGAAATCAATAAATGTGTTTAACAGAAAATTGTTGAAAAATAATTATTTATTTTCATATCCAACACATCAATTGGAAACTTGATAAAGTGATTGGTATCAAAATATTTGAAAATAAGTATGTGTAAGAAATTTTATTTCAATGTACTAAAAATTCTTGAACTGAACTCATCTAGGTTTAAAAGAACTGATTTAGCCAAGTTGAGAGATGAGCTAAATCTTGCAAGTATTCAAGATAAGAGTCCAGAATTAAATTCAAATGGTTTTCATCTGTTCATGTTTATTTTTTATTAAATAAAATGACTTTTATATTTTATTCATCATTTACATAAATTACTATGATTACATGATCCAAACAATTTATTTTTGAATTTTCAAATTTAAATTCTTCTTCATTTATTTTATATCTTCATTTTCATTTCTACTTCTATTTTTAATATTATTTGATGAGCAGTTCACTTTTTGAATATGATCAAGCAAGTAATTCATTCAAATTAATGCATTATTTTTTTCATTTATGATAATATATGCATAATGTCATGTTTTATATTACTTTTCATGATGATGAATGATATATAAAAAACATGCTTGCATGGATGAATTCATTTTTGTCTTGGATCTTTAAACTTGTTTGCATAAAAAAAAAATTAGCCAAAAATATAGCATCAATTTTCTTGCAAATTTATGTGAATCTTGTGATCCATACATCTATTAGTTGTTGTGTGCATCACAAGGTGTATTAGCTAAAAATTTATGCATGGTTCAATCAACTACAAGATTTGAATATATAGCGGCGGCAAAAGCGGAAAAAGCAACAAAAGAAGCTATTAGGTTGCAAAGACTTAACACTGAAGTGAAAGTAAACCAAACTCTTGTCAATTGTCATTGTGATAATGAGAGTGCATTACATTTTACAAAAAAAATAAAGTAATGAATATTAATATGAATCACATTGACATCATATATAATCTATCAAAGAATAAGTGCATCTTAGAAAAAGGTTGAGGTAGTCAAAATTGATGTTAAACTCAATCAAATTGATACATTATCAAAGTTATTGTAATTAAATTGTGAGAAGTTTATGTTACTTTTCAAAGTTTGTATATGAAACACATGGAGAGTTTTAATAGCGTTTTGTGGATGTGATCACATATATATATATACTTACTTTTACTGATACTATCATGTTTTGTCTAGGATTTAGTTATAATTAAATCTTATTTATATTATAGCTTAACTTCATATTGAGTATTAAGGATACACATGTCAAGACACAAGTAGAAGGAAAAACTTCTTTGATTAATTAATTTTGATCTTATCAATTCAATTTAGTAGTTGGCTGCAGCTTTGTGCAACACAAATTGAAGATTTTTTGAGTAACTTAATTGTGTTTTTGTGGAACTGAAAAAAAATGTGGCTACTTTCTTCACTTTTTTTTCTGTTGTGTGTGTGTTGGTCATGTGAATTTTGCTTTGAATATTTGCTTTTTTGTGGAAGTACAAGAAATCTTTTGTTGCGACTTCTTCCCAAGAAGATGATAAAAATATTACACGAAATGATAAAGAAAAAGCATTCGAAGCACAGATTACAAAGGATTGATTGAAGAAAAATTTGATCTATGAATCGGTTATTTGCAACCGTGAATTAGTACATTTACAATTTCAAAATGTGAATTAACCAAGTTATTTACTAGTTATTTTGAAGCCTTGCAATCTTGCTCTCATATAAACTGTAAATTTTTTACATAGGAATCTGCACACATACCAAGAATATGTATATAGCAAGCATGTGATTCATCTATGGGGAGATTATATTTAGGAAAATAACAAATACATTATTTAATATCTCAGAATTCGTGTCATCAAAAAATACGAACATGTCTCTTATATAATAAAAAAACCAATCCTTATTGAACTGAATAGAATTGCATTATTATGAATTCACTTTAAACAAACATAAGAGTAGATTACAACATTTTTACAATTTCAAATCTAATAAAGATATCAAATAAATGAACAAAAATCTTAGTAATACCTCATGAAATGTGACACTATGAACCAAATTTTTGCATGCGATAGAATATAGTGACAAATATATATATATATATAAATATTGTTGATTGATATGATTGATTTGTTAAGAATAACATGAACCAAAGATAAATATAGAGTTATGGAACTAGAGTGAGCAAAATAGAGTGTATATAGTACATCCCGGCTTCTGGATTATCTAAGTAACAAATTTTACCCAAGTGAGGTCCATGGAAGTCCGGCCGGATTAACTAGGGGACAGTCAAGGGGATTTATTCAGGGCTTAGAACTAACCCGAGTAAAGAATGATCGACAACGGGAGAGCCAATGGGAGCATGCCACGCTGGAAAGCTCGTGGCGAGGGAGCGAGGGGGAGAGGGATAGGAGAGGGGGCACTGGAGTCCGATTTCCCGCGCCAAACAGGCGGAGTTAGGGTCGTCACGTCTCGCCGGGCCCCCTCCGTGCCTGTGCTACATTTGCGACTCGAGACCTCTCGGAGCTCTCTCGTTGCGCAATCCTCGTGCTGCTGGCTGGTCGCTGCATCAGCTGCAGGCAGAGAGTGTGATTTCGGTGCTCGCTCGTCTCGGATTCTCGGATTGCGGAGCTCGATTTGGCCGACGCCTTCGGTTGTGGCGCCCGGAGAGGAGGACGAGGAGGCACGCCTGGGGGCGTGAAGCATTGGCTAGGATTGGATTGGATTGGACTGGACATGGGGAGGCCTCAGGATGTGTACGTTTCGTTTGACACCGTGAGGGACAAGAATCTCATGCAACTGAAGAAACTGAATATGTCCATCTTCCCTGTGTCCTATCAGGATAAGTTTTACACGGATGCATTGTCGTCTGGAGACTTTACGAAGCTAGGTGCGAACTGCTCACCTTTCAGTCTGGCTTTGAGATTCGAATTTTGCGGGAAGATGTTTGAACGCTGTCTTCAAGTTGGGATGTGTTTGGCGATTTGAAGATATTTTTTCGGGTGCCAAATGCGAGTTTTTAATTCATGATGTGGGCTTCTCTCTTGGTGTTGAGAAAGTTCTGACGTCGAGTTCATCTCTTCTCGTCTTCCTGTTCTGTGCAGCGTATTATGCGGATCTCTGTGTCGGTTCGATAGCATGTCGTCTCGAGAAGAAGGAGGGTGGTGCTGGTGTCCGACTTTACATCATGACTCTTGGTGTGCTAGCCCCGTACCGAAGAATAGGCATCGGTAAATCTCGTCACTCCCTAATATTCGAAACGAGCTTTTTCCTCACCATAACTTAACGAAATTTAGCTCATAAATCTGGTGGAAGCAGAAATTTGTGATTCGAACAGAGTTGTAGGAATTACCCTCCTTCTGATCAATTTGGACTGAAGTTTGTTGAATGCCCTTACGCGAAGATTTCATCGCTGTCTAAAGTTTGATTTTTGTTCTGAATCTCAGGATCAAAGCTTTTGAAGAAAACTCTGGAACAATGTGAACAAGACCCTCTGATTGTGGAGGTGTATTTACACGTGCAGACCAACAATGAAGCCGCTATTGAGTTTTATAAGAAGTTTGACTTTGAGATTACGGAGACCATCAAGAACTACTATAAGCACATTGAACCTCCAGATTGTTATGTTCTGTCTAAGAACCTGGTCTCGACTAGCAAAGCTAAAGCACCTCGGTAGCTTTGTAAATCAGTTTTGTCCCAACTAATAGGTGAAAATTTTACCCTTTTTGTCTCCTATAATTTAAGAATATATAATCTCCACTCTCCATGTCGTCCTGATGCGCATGTACAAATAGGTTGAGTCGGTACGCTTCATTTTAATACACTCTTCGAGAATCTTAAGGACTGTCGGCCCTTCAAGAGTATACAACCCATCTGTGATTGCCAATGGATGTTCAGCTTTAACCAACGCTGTAAAGGATGTCGTTTCTCGATGCTCTTAAAGACACTCAGGCCTACAACGCAAGCTTAGTATTTTTTGACCTGGTCAGATAGTTAAGGAAATTGAAATTAATAGATGGGCAATTCGGGTGTTTTCATTGAGTTATGAACACCTAGATTAGCGATGTCGTGCTTGGGAAGATCACAAGACAGTATGGGAGCTGGCATCTTTGGGCTATTCTATGTTATGACCTGATTAGGCGCTAAAGTGAAGTAAAGTGAACGGTGTGATGTGCTTTGACCTATCGGAGTCAATATCGCGCCGGGATTGCTTTGTATATCAGACGACATGCCAGTCGTTCTCCCAAGGACTTTTTACTTATCTGTGAAAAAGGCATTCATTGGATGAAACCATTTTTGAATTTCAGTTTGTGTGCGTTGTCGTTATGTTGCCTTATGAACTCTTTCCATATCGAACTTTTTACACCCTTCTCAGCCATAGCTGCACTGAAAGAACGCATTTTCTCTCCAGCAGACAGCCACACAGAGCTACTCTCTCCTTGTGTGCGCGTGAGCCCTTACGTTCTGTTCAATTTTTCGGATGTCGACTTTTCACTCGTGCCCTTCTCGAATGGTGTTGCTCTCTGAAATGGACTGGTAGAGCCCCATGAATATTACAGAGTAGAGGTAAAGATAAACTTAACCCGGAGAGGGATATTTGCACAGATGTTTTGAACTTCATGGGTGAGAGGCTATTCAATGACAGGAGAGCTTACAAAGTGTGATACACAAGTACCCTGGAGAAAACTTCCTTGAATTTATATCCGAGTAGCGCCTCTGGCAAGACCACCGATGTTCATTTGACGGCTGCTTCTAAAGAACAATTGTGCTACTTCCCACCACAACACATTCGAGATGAGCATAACAACTACTTCTTGGATGATTTCTTTGACTTCGGTGCCTCTGCATCTGCCTCCTTCTTGTCTGCCCCCTTGCCTTTGGCTGGCTTCTGAGCTGCATCCGGTGGCTCTTTACCTGAGGGCACGACCGGAGCTGCCGCTTCTGTGGTACCCTCATCTCCGTGCATCTGTAGCACTTTGTCAATCAGAAACTTTTCTCTGTACTCGTATTCTTCAATCAGAGCTTTTTTGGCCTCCAGAACCTTATCTCGCACTGCCATTTCTATAGCTTCCTGCAAGTTGAGTGGTTTGCGCTTCAGTTCCTCTTCTGCTCTCAAGGCAGCCTCCGCAGCCAGCAGTGCGAAAGCATCTTGAGAAGCCTTGGCGGCAGCTTCTTTAGCATCAGCTTCAGCTTTCTCAGCAGCAGCCTTCCTTGCAGCCTGCACATTCCAGCAGAGAAATCAGTCAAAGAGTCGCCCTGAACCTACTTTGATGTGAGGTTTGCGAAGCTCTTTCAACAGCCAGCCGTGAGTTAGCGCTCACGTTTCAGTCAGGATCACCTCGTGAATTGTGGTAGAATAGATAAAAGGTACGTCCCACGTCAGACAGTCGAAATCCTTGAATTTCTCATTTGTCGAATCAGAATATATACCTCTTCTGCTTGTAGCTCTTCTGTTGTCTTGGACAGAGAGAGAGGATATAGCATTGGTGTTTCGACCCAAACTCTCTCGTCCCTTGTTATGTTGTAATGATCCTTTGTGAAGCAGTACTGGTACAGGCAATAATGCTGAAATATACTGCCCACCATGCCAGAATCATGAGGACAAGATCATCAGGGCATAGGTGCCACAGGCTCAATGCCTGCATCGGTTAGTGTGCTGCTCGAGGGCTTTTAATGTGCAGGATTTGGGAAGCCATATGGGACATCTGGTGAAAATTTGGTAGAGCAGGCTGGTGTCATCTAAGCGACGAGAGGACCCTTGACTTGCTGATGGTAAAACACATGTCAGACCATCAACTACTCACGTGGATGTGAAGTATGGAGTTATCCTTTGCAAATCCCAGGCAGAAAATATAGGTTCTTCAAGCTTGTCTACACTCTTCATACTCATGGCGATAAGTCTATTTCTGAACGTTCTTTCTGCATCTGCAAATGGATTTCCCGCTTTCCTTGCCAGACAACATTCATGAAAGAAGATACACGTGAGTTTGTCTTAGAACCAACTTGAAGATGTATCTGATAATCTAGAACTGAATTTGCCACTTGTTGTCTGTAACTGCACAGTGCCAACTCTAATCTCATTTGCATCAAAATACTTTTAAAACTGATGTCGTCCGTGTAGGACATCCGGAGTCGAAACCGACTATCAGTATCACGTTTTCAGGATCAGGCACAGAAGTTTGACATATGGCACTTTTTGGAACAGGTTGCATCTCAAAGATAGAGCGTTTTGCTTATAGTCGATAAATTGTGGAATTACGACCTCTACGAATGTGAGATGAAGCTGACACCAAATAGTACCTCTAATAATGTCCAGAATCATGTGACCCATGTCGTATAGGACATGTATCTGCTTCAATTTCATATCCGCGTTTTTTCCAAACCTTCAGAGAGTTCACGTGCAGTGTTAGCTGAAGTGCTTATCCTCTTCTTCTCCTTGTCAGCTGATACAATCTTTCTCGGAACGATACGCTTGTAATGCCTAAGAGTGTCTGAACTTTTGAAGGCGTTAAATCAGAAACTCCGGCACGTCTATTAACAGGTCATGGATGTCGAGACAAAGAACACTACAGATGAAGATGATTCTCTAGAGGATGAGATTTACATCAAGGTGCCAAGACAATATTCGAGAAGAATCAGGTTTCTTGCATCGAACCGTATGTCTCCGAGCTGCATTATACCTGCTAGACATCTGCAAACACAAGGGCACACAGTACAGAAAGCATATTCAACAAATATATCGGCAACTCTACATCAACTTTTGCCGAATCCTGTTGTTGTATCAAAGGATGGGAGATTGCGCTCAGAACGTCAAGGGTGTAACCTTGCAGCTTCTTCGAGGTTGGGAGAGAGCTGGAGAATCTGATTCAGCTGCTCAGGTGTCAGCTCCTTGTTATAGACAAATTCTGGTTTTATAACTGGAGGAGGGCCGGGAAGCTCCCCTGGAGGAAGAGCTGAAACTGCGTCTGTCGTGATTTCCTCGACAGGTTCTTCTGGAGGCGGTGTGGGAGACTTTCCCTTGTCCTTCTTACCTTTCGGAGATTTTGGCGAATTAGGTTTCTCCTTCTTGGGACCCATGTTTCTTTAGCCTTCTGGTGCGTATGCAATCTGTCCATAACTTCACCCCATCGCCACTCACATCTGTTGACATTCTTTTTCCACTTTCGACGGACACAGTCTCTGATTACTGAGAGATGATTCGGACATTTCGTCCACAAAACAACCCCATGGCTCCTGTAATTGCTCGAACTTTCGTCTTGCCGCAGGTTTTGTGAAGACCATGATGGGCATCACCGCGACCTACCAAGAGCGTGCACTTCGACCAATTTATTATAAAAAGGCTTATCGTTATCAATCATCGACCCCATAGTCGGTGCAATTCGGTGCTCACTAGATCGCTTTCTCCACGGAAGAACCCGGACAATTGATAGAAAGCTCCTTCACCAATTGACCTGGGTAGGAATTGAACGCTCTTCGCGTAATCACGTAACGGCTTACGTCTGGGAAAGCGATACCAAACTGCAGTGCGAAATGTGTTCGAGGTTATCAACCGCTGCTGCAATGTCTAGATCCTGTCGCAGGACCATCTCGCATATGAGGAGTACAACCATGTCATGTCCTCTTCAATTTCTAGCAGTGGATCTGTCAATCTGATTAATTTGGTAAGCTGGTAGAGTAGAAGAACAACTAGAATATGCGGAAACCCTCACGAATGCCGGTGGATAGAGGAACGCAACGGAACATGTCTTTATGCTCTGCACTGACTCGAGCCGTGTTCGAACCAGCCAAGTATCCAGAAAGCTGAAAACTCGCGCATCCCTCTTCTTCTCTTATTTCTGGTACAATATGCAGAATTAGGTGAAGGCTGGTTTGCATTGAATTGTTTCGCTGTTATTTGCCATTTTTCCACTTGGACATGAAATTATTGCTTCAGTCAATCGGACGAATTTCGATTCAACATACCCGACACTACAGCTTTTGGCTAGAACAACCCCGACTGTATACGTACACCGTTGGTTTGTTACCGTCACCGTCACCCGGGGGTTTCGTGCTTCTCGCCCAAGACGAGACCGGCCGGCCTTTCCGTCCAGCATTGCTTGTCTTGCGATGGCGGATCAGGCTGGCTCGGAGGTGGCGATTTTGTAGAATGATTTCTGCATTCAAGCTGCGAAATCGTGACCTGCAACGAACATGTAATCACGTCCTGCGCTTCTGTTTGAATACACCTCGCTGATTTTCAAGATACGATTATAGGACACGGATGCGAATTGCAGTGACCGATTGGTATGGATCGAACGTCGTCAAGGCGGCTTGACCCGAAACCGACTCAGTCCACCTAATCTCGAGTACAGCATTTCGACAACATTTGAGATTCTTTGGTATCGCGAGGCAGGAATAACTGCTCGGTGCATATTCCCAGGAAAGTGAGGCCATCGTGTTGTAGACAGGAAGGACACGACACGAGTACTGTACCAGATAGAGTAATGTTTCAGAAGGGGAGCGAGGCAGGTAGGGAGGGAGAGATGTGTTTCAAAGGGGGAGAAGTTTCATAGAGTTTCGTATGAATGGGCACAGGGCAGTGGTTGGAATTAGACTTTGGTCGTTCATCATCGCTTCTGAGTGTTCCCGCTCCTAATCATGTTGCCCAACACCAGATAAACACGAAATGTGGCTTGGCGACCTGCTGGTTGTCTGCTGCATTGCCCTGTGTCAAATGTTGGGCAAACTAGCAGACAGATATCCCCTCAGTTTAAATGCCCGACTCGTGTTTCCAAGGCAATATTAGTGAATCCACGCTTGCGCATCTTGTTGAACTTAATGACGTCCGAGATCTGGTTTGGCAAAGATCCGAGATCTGGTTCAGTGAAGCTGTGGGTCTGGCTCAACTTCATTAACGCTGATGCGGAGGCATTGGAAGGCAGCTTTCTGGACTATATTGAAAGATGTAATATTTTGTGAGATGTGACCGTACCTAATCGATTAGCGATCCTTCTCAGTTCAATTCATCGCTATGAACATGATGGTTCTTGTCTCTTATCTCGGAATAACATTTACAAATGCGTAAACAACATTTGTAGGTGATGATTTTACTGAGAGAGATACCCTTGTCCACCTAACGCCCATTCTTGCTTCAATCCAACCATGCTTTATCAACATTCTTCTGAGTGTTATAGAATATCCAAATTAAGGACATGCAACGAGAATCACATTCCCCATGATATTCAGCAAACGAGGTCGTGCATCCTTTGAAAATTTATGGTCCACGTTGGGATAGAGAGTGTCTTTATCCCAACGTCCACACGCAGTCCAATTGGGAAGGCACTTTGTGCTTCGAAACTACCACAATTATACACGTGACAGTTCTTAGCGTGCGTGCTGGCGATTTAAAATGCGCTGAGAACCCGGCTATGAAAAAGCATGTTATCACTGATAACATGGGTGTCGCACGGAGAATACGGAACGAAAAACCCTGATAACATTTCAACAATATATCATAGGAGAGAGATTTGTGCAGAGGTTTTGTTTTACGGGTAAGATGCATTCGAACTGGAGTTAAGCCTCCTAAGGAATCTTGTGAAATCTTCTGGTCGTGCAAAGAAGCGCCAGAAGCAGATTCACATGAGCTACGAATTTCTGAGCTTCACAGATCGGATATTGTGCATGAATTATAGGAAAAGCATTTTCTTCCGTTTATATTGCTCTCTTGTTTAAACACGGATACTACTTGAAATTGACAACACCGAATACAATTTGTAGTTCCTGTCCATCATACATTTGTTGGACCCTCATCGTGGGACAACAGAAGAATCAGTCAACAGAAGAATCAGTCAATGATATGTGGAAAAGTTCAACGTGACCACCGTCACTTGTCAAGGGAAGGGTTTTCATCATAGTGAGACTTGGAACGAGACAATATGAACACTCTACTCTCAAAAAGTCATCTTGATAGTTTAGCCGAACACTGATCTTTTTCAGAAGCATAACTGTGCGATTGACATGATGGCAAACATTATAAAAGACTTCTTCTTGTGAAAACTGCAAGGAAGAATTTGCAGAGTAGTATATTGCATGAGGGTCTAAACATATGCACTAAATAATATATAGTGGCATTCTAACCTCTTCAAAATCCTAACATGTCAAAATTCCACAACGAAGGCCTTTATTCATGCACTTCTCGCACACCCATGCATGCCCACCTCTTTCTAAACTCAGGTACTTCACCTGATACAACTTGAAGATTCCGGAATAGCGATTTTGAAGCTGAGGCGCAAGAGTTTGCTGAATCCTCAACCATGCATCCTGCAGCTCCTTGCTTTCCCCACCTTTGAGAAATGCTCTGTGATCATCATCACTGATACCGTCCAGCTGAACAATATCAGATTTTAAATCTTCCCACTCCGGAATAGCTTGGCCCAAATTGAGGGTCTTATCTAGTCCAGCCTTCACAGCATAATACATGACTTTGTATGAGATTTCAATAATTTTCCGAATCCAGGAGCTATTCTCCCGATCCAAGCGTATCTTCAAACCTTCTTGATCTTTGACAGTATGAAACCCAGTCATTGACTCACACATCAATTGTAAGCGAACGGTTGTACCGTTATGCATAACTGCACTCAACCTATAGAAAATGCCAACATCGTTCGTAACGTAAGGTCGCTTGGGCGTTTGAACCGAATGAGAGAACTGAATTATCTTGTCAACTTTAGACACAAAGTCACTCATAGTTGACTGTAATTCTTGGTGCAAAGAGAGTATCTATCCCATCTTCATCTCCGATCTCTGCAGAATGCTCTCCATTGATCTCATCCTCTCATCCAAACCATCAAACTTTTGTACTAGCTTATCTTCTAGCTGGTCGATCTTGAACAAAACAAGTCGGGTCGAACGATTCTCCACACTTGAGCAGGCTCGACTCAAGCACCTGGATGTAGGTGGTTTGCAATCTTTCATTTGGAAAAAATTTGAGTCGCTAACCATGTTTTCAGCTTCAGGATTCGACTGAGCCAAATCATTCTCCACGCTAATTAGACCTTCCACCAATGACTTCAATTCTTCAATTCGTTTCTGTCGAATCTCATTCACAACTGCTTCCACATCGCTCTCCCACAACAAATCCCTGGCTCGTTCGGATCTTCCGCCTGTGTGCCTTTCAATTGGAGGCCAACAATGCTCATAGTGGAACAACTCTTCCTTCTGCATCAAGTGCGAACTTTCCAATAACATTTCCTCAAGTTTGTCATTGATGCTACAAATGAAGTCTGATTTTAGCTTCTCAATCAGAATGGCTCCTCTAAGATGACTCGGAATCAACATCTCCACGCAAAATGTTTGGATCACACCGAGCACTAACGCCACCCCAGGACAGCCTTTCTGTGATGCGCAAAATGATATCAACTCCTGGACGATATGCTTCATCACATATTTAGTAGCCACCTCCCTTGACTTATGCCTCGAACATAACATCAGAACATCTACGTATTTGTGGGACTTTTCACTCTGAACGTGCTCGATATATATCTGATGACCGTCAAGGAAGAGTCGCAAATAATGTCGAGAGCAAGTCATATTCTCCTCGGAAACATGCATCTCGGATTTCAACTTGCATCTCATGAACATCTACAATCATAGAAAATTTGGGTAAATCTCTAGTGGAACATTCAAATAATTTGTTGCAGTAAATGAAAAGAAAACATTCCCTTCGTCATACCCTAATTACAATCAGAACTTGACGCATACAACGATTTCACAACAACGCATACAACGATTGTGTGTGCAAAAGCATGATTCAACCTCACCTGAAAGCGTGGAAAAAACGCAGCAGTCAATGACATTGTTCTTCCATCTTGGCACTGAATCCGAATGCCGACAAATTGTGAAGTCTCACTCCTATTTTCCCAATACATCGACTTCATGTGCACCCCTTCTTGATGGTTTTGTTCTTCCTTGCTTGCATGCTCAGGGATGAAGGAAGGAATGAAATACTGAGAACTATCTTCGAGCTTGAAACACAAATCTAAATTGACAAGGATATTTTCAAGCTCCTCTCTGCCCACACCTCTCTGTCCATATCGTTGGTTTCCCATAAACTCTTCTATCAACCGAGCAAAGACACTCTCACTCACAAATCCATCCTTGCTTGCATATGAGCTCGTTCTATTAGAAGACTCTGACTCTTGAGCTTGAAAGTTTTGACCCAGAGCTATCAGCTCACCCAGGAAGGTATTGGTGAGCCAGTTGGGATCTACAATGATGTACTTCAGGTTGGGAATGTAAATGATAGATCCAACGTCATTCAAGTAGGATATGATGGACTCCATTATCCTTGAATGATCAACAAAGTGAACAGGAGATGATGGAACAAATTGTGTCAAACTGGGAGCACAGAAATCATGAAATTTGTTGGATGACCAAAGAGGTAAACTTCTGTTCTTCTTGATTTTTGTAACCAAGAGGGAGGTGAGTTGAGAACACAATAGGGGGACCTGTGGAGATTTTTCACTCAACAACTTGTTAAAATTCTCAAAAATGTGACTGTTGAGAGGAATAACTTGTTTTTTCTTCCTAGCATCCACATGAAAACACTCTTGAACAGGAAAGAGATTCACAAAATTTGCGAATCTTTGGATGAGTTCTTCAATTACTGACTAAGTCCAACTCATAGAGCTGTATCTGGCTTTATCTTTGTGTGAAATGACAACAAAAACTTGGGGAAGATCATGTCCTGTGACCTTAACGCTGGATGTGATGAAGCTTAACCAATCCTCCAACTCAGTTTTGAAACAAGAGTCTGGTTTGTTTTTAGATGTTTTCTCACAGAAAGGGCTATACACAAAAAGAAAAATACAAAAATTGTTGGTTTGAGGAAAGAGTACATTCTGAAGGGTACGAAAAATCCATTGCCCCACAAGATCCCAAACTGAGATTTGCATTTTTTCACTATTTTGCAAATACTCCACTTCGATGCCTTTAGTCCTCCACAATACGTCCCATTTATTGGATAGACTGCTTCTGTGTAGCCAGCTATGATTGATCCTCATCAGGGTTTTACGCAATTGAGTTTTTCCTGCACGTTAGAAAACAAAAGGTAAAAATACACAACTTGTTATTAACGATGCTTTAAATTGATATTATTGAGATACAACATGACATGATATTATATTAATATGTGGGAAGATAAATTTGATTGAAAAATGTAGAATCACCAAAACAATTGAAGTTATATAATTAATGATTTACACATTTGATTTTTTTTTTCTGTTACTAATTGTATACACACATCATTATATAGAGATCAAAATAGCATTTGTTGTGTCAATTTTGATTTCAGAAAAGTAAACCATAGATTGCTAGTTGGCAGACATTGAGGAAAAACTCAGAATGTACAACGCCTGTTACCTGCTCGAGGAGAGCCGCATAAGAAGAGTCGACCAGCTTTTGCATCTCCAAATGTTAAGTTGGCTTCTCTAAACACTGACATGTAGACGGCCCGCTTCTGGTTCTGTTTCAGAGCCTCTTGAATCTGCGCCGCCTTTCCGTCCCTTGCCCATGATGTTCGTGAGAAGTCGATTTCCTGGAGAGCCAAGTTCACTTGCAGGATCCCCATGAGTTCCCGGAACGCCTCCTCGTTGAGTTGGGAGTCAGCCAAATCCAAGTGAGTGAGGTGGTTCCCTCGCATGCACCTAATCAGGTCTTCCCATACTCCCTTCGAAAGATCTTCGCTTCGAACAGATAACTCCAGTTTCTTCAGGACTAAAGTTTCTCCAGTTTTCCCATTCATCGGGAGGAAACTGAACGTGATCATTTTCTTATCACCCACCAATATACTCAGAGATTTTAGCGATTTGATTTCCCCGCGCAGTACTCTACCTATTAGGTTTAATGATAACATCACTTCATGGTCATTTGAGCTTGTACTCACAACTTCGAGGACAAGCTCCACTGTGGGGTCCTTGATATCGGAGCTAGCAGAACGCGCAAGAGCTTCTGTTGACTTCCATTGATCTCCATTGCCTAAATCAAACTTAGCAAGTATAGTTGTTGCTATGGCATTGTCACGTATGACTTCGCCGAGCTGGTACCATTCCTCAGGACTCATCCGCATTCGGGACAATTCCACTTCCTTCAAGGATGGGTTGGAAATAAGAAGTTCAGTTAAACAGCCTCCGAGTTCAATTGTATCCGCTAGACGAAGACATTCAATGGATCGGTTGCGATCGTCTCCGGCCAATGCTTTCAGCAACAAGGCCGCTCCCCACTCCATACTCTTTAAGAGCAATTCTTTTAAAGACGAGCTCTGGATCAAAGCCTGGGACAGGATTCCAACGGTCTCGTCTTCCGTGTCTTCATAGAAGCCTCCTAAACGCAGCGTTTCTAATAGAGGAGCACTGTTGATCATGTCAGCCACATGCTTCACCGCACTCCAGTCCTCCCACGCGGCAAATAAATTTAAAGTCTTGAGTTTAGATTCGGAATTTCCTCGCAGTCCTGAGGCAAGATTCAAGAAACATCTGGCACTTAAACTGCAGCAGCCTAAACCCAAGACTGTCACGCTAGAGGTATTCAGAATGGTCCCCAGCTGTAAACACCAGCGCTCCCTTTCCGCATCTGAACTCCAGCGCAAATCGTAAACGCTTATCTTTCGTAAAACGGTGCTACACCTGAATCCTCTCAAAAGTATCTCCCACTCGGTAGCCGTCAATCTTGAAATATATCCCCCACAAATATCGTACACGTCCAGTATCTCAAGGGTGTTGCAGCTGCCTATCGCCTCCAGCACTCGAAGGCGCACTTGGCTTCGCCACCCTATGATCGTCGAGTGCAATCCACGATTCGGAAAAAACTCCAGAAATTCTGGCCCTTTTAAATCGGGCAGCCTCGTTATAGGCTCGCCTTCTCCTTCCAGACGTCGTATAAGGTCCTGGATGGCGGAGGGAAGCTCCTGTTCCTCGTTTGTGGAGTCCTTTTCCCGTGTCGCAAGTTCAGCCGCGTGACTTCCGATGAACTCACCTGCACCTTCCATTCTCTCCTCCTCCCTCCTCTCTCCTCCACTCTCACAGAAGAAGGAACATTTGCTACTTGGCAAGCGCGGGCGAAATGTAACCGCGACTACAAGAGCCACTCTTCTCGATCCGCAAGCTTGGCTATACCGAAGACAAGCTTGCGAATGCAGAGGACCAGGACTCTGATTACGAGCTAAATCATAGATCGTGTGGCAAAGAAGACTTCACGTCTCTGGGAAAAACCTCGCGGATAGCGTTTGATGTGCACTGGTGACTGAATTAAGTGAACAAGATGATAGCTCTGCAGGTGGATCTAAAAGCGAGTTCGGAGCAAAGATGGTGCGATGTGGAAGCAGAATGTCATGAAATGCAGGATATTGTAGACATTCAGATGTGAAGAACCCTGAGTTGTGTAAAAACTGGATGTACAGTTGTACTGGGAGACTGCGAATCTGTCTTCAATCAGATCTCGTCATTGAATAGTGTGAGCGATCAAGGTAGCGACAATATTCTATCTCAAAAAGCCTGTTCTTCCCTACTCTTCGATTGGACAATGGTGTTAGAAGGTCAGAGAAGATCTTGACTTTGTTGTGCAAGCTAACATGATAAGTGAGTCACACTGAGTGCATGAGTGAGTGTGACGATAGTGTGATAGTAGTGTGATGTCGTCACCTGACGACGAAGATTTCAAAGTTCATCTTCATTGATTCTATTTAATCTATTCAATCAAGTGGATGTATTCGGACAACTGAGTGGCACATGCGCTGTCAGCCTGTTTGACTAAGCCTCTTGTGCTTTTTTTTATTTGTTGAAATATCGGTGTAGTAGTCTATATAACTCTACATAACTTGTAGGTTCAGAACAAACTGGTAAGCTATTTGGAAGTATAATAAACATAATGTTGAAGAAATTTGACAGAGTAGAAGCGCAGATATGATTTTTCTTCTAGCTCAACTGTCAAGCATGTGAGCTCATGCACAGTTCTAGTTCCAGAGTCTGGAGTTCTTTACACCTCAAACATGAAACTGATTTCGAATTTCGTCGTGTTTATGGCGTCGTATAGAAGTTGATAGTACCAGCATGATACTTGCCGAGGTCAACGTCAAACCTCTCAAGAAGTTACATTCTTCAAAGTTGCTTGCAAGTTAAGAGAAACTGTGATGTATACATGGCTTAATAATTAATTCTGATGCTAAATGCTAGATAACAGTGATTCGTGACTTCAGATGAAGATCTAGTGTAATCGTACATGTAAACTCAAATGTTTGATATTTTTACTGAAATGAAACAAGTCATACGGCCGCTTTTGCACCCGTCTGCTCATATTATAAAGCAAACATGTCATATGAAACAATCAAAGCGCATTTCTCAATCGATAAAATTATTGAAACGAAAACATGTTATATTATCTCTTTGTCTCTTTCTTCTGTTTAGAGCATATTCAAATAATTTTTTGTTACAATATTCACAATTTCGATAACCTTTCTTTTGGATGTGTAAGTCTAATTCGCATCCTTATTTGATGATACTTCCCATCTCAAAATGTTTAACTCATAAAAAATATCAAAAGAATTGTTTCAAACAATACATTATTAAATTTAAAGTTAAAGTATTACATTATTCTTACTATATCTTATCTGCTTCAGATTTTTCATCTTTTTCATTTGCTTTTTTTATTAGGCGATTTGATTCTTAGGCACTTTTATATAGATATGTCTCAAGATTAACGAAACTCATTAATATTTAAAGAGTTTAATTCTACTAATGAGATAAAATGGTGGATGTTTAAGATTTTATTACCAAAGTTGGAACAAAGAGGTGATGAAAGCGTAGTTAGTTATTTTTAGAGGTGTATATGAACAAACCTACACACGCCAAAACTCTTGATGCATTTTCAACTCAAGTTGAACTAACTTTAAAGTAATAATTTGTTAATAAAAAAATCAATTTTACAATGTTATTTGGTTACTTTGTTGTGTATTTTCACAGCTCAAGAAATATACTGAAGTGTTGCACTAGGTACCCAACTATGACTTTCACATGATACCTTCAACCTCTCATTCAATGGATAAATAAGAAGTCCTTTTGCTCACACAATCATAAACGTGAAAAGTATTAGTGATGACCCAAACTTGATACTGATTATTAACTCTTAGCGCTTCTTCTAGAATATTCTTTGGTCTTTAGTGCTCCATAAATTATTATATATCTAAAAGTTACCATTGAATCTTAGCGCAACTTCTTCTAGGAAACTCACAACAATATTCTTTGGTACTTAGTGCTCCATAAATTATTACATATCTTCTTCTTTTTTCTAACTCCGACTAGAAATATTTTAGCATATCTTTTGTCACTACTAGCTTGTATTTAACTTACGCCGGTTCACTTTACTTAACTGAAGATGCCGGTTTAAACTTAAATCTTTAAGTATTTTTTGTGGAACGCGGTGAAACAAACCCTGTAAAATTTTCAATTCATGGGCAAGACAAACGAGAATCAATAGATTTGTTGCACATTCTTTCCCTGCTCCAGTCCAGATGCCCGAGATGAAGTTTTCAGACAAAGGTTAGGTTATCAGTTTCACGAGTTTGTTTGTGCATTAGTCTACATTCCACTTGGAATTTTCCAATGGATGATTTGGGCCACCTAATCTGTCATGAAAAATCACTAAAGATACTAGACTTATAATGATCCATTGTTAGTGTCATATCTTGAATCCATATCGTGACAAAGTCTAGCTTGCTAACTGGGACGAGTATATTACTATAGCTCACTAGTTCTCTTGTTTAGAAAAAATGTCAAACATGAAACTTATCAAATTCCCAAATATATATAAAAAATTAACTTAGTTGTGATTGCATCATCTAATTCACATAACACACATTTCAAGCCAGCTCCATCAATCCCAATGACATATGTTTCATTATGTAAACAAAGAAATATTCATTCACTCCCAAACCTTAACACAAGGATATTATCACCATTATGAATAAGTTTGATTCATCAGTGTGGACTGCATTCATCACAATAACTCAAGCTTTCTTCACGAAAAACACAAATTGTGTCACTTAGAGCTTCGATGAGTTCTCATATGTGTGATTCACCAGCCTAACTAACTGAGTTTAACCTAAACAGAATTGTTTGAAGATCTAAGTTAAGTCATAATAATTTCTATAATCTATAATTTATAATTTATTCTATTAATTACTAAGCAAAAACTTCTTTAATTCTCCTAACATAAATATGTCCAACATCGTAAGGTGATTAGAATTAAGTCATAGTCAAAACAAGATAGAATAAATATATATATCATAACTAACAATAAATCTACTTGTGCTCCTCATACAAGTTTAATAAAATAATGTATTATTTACCTGTCATCAATGACTTTGACTGCATATCAAACCTCCACCAGAGTTTGTGTCAAGCCTGCCACCAATCCAACCAAGACATTTTCGCGGGCTACAAATCCAAAAGGCACTCTATGGCCTGAAATAAGCCGGAAGAGCGTTGTACCATCACTTGAAGTCATATTTGATGTCTAATGGCTTCCAAAATCATCTTGCTCTACCTTGCATTTTTGTTTTAAAGAAAGATACACAATCTTTGATCCTAGTTGTATATGTCGATGATTTAAACAGTATTGAAACATCAGCATTGAGCAAGCGTGTTGAACTCATACTAATTAAACAGAAACTGTTAGGCAAAACATCATATTGCCTTGGACTCCAGATTACTCATCTTGCAAATGGAAGTATGCTTCTTCATCAATAAACTTATGCTCGCAAGCTTCTCAAGACGTTCAACATGGAAAATGCGAATGCCCTATTAGCAGCTATGATAGAGAGGAGCAAGACTGAGGATGATCTTTATCGTCATGCTAAACTTGGGGAGGAGGAGTTGGACAAATTGAAGTATCTAGTAGCAGTCGGCGCACTCCTCTACTTGGCAAAAAATACTCGATCCGACATCAATATTGCAGTCAGCGTTTTCGCCCAGCACAGCCAACGCTCCACGACACGACATTGGCAAGGCATCAAGCACCTCCTCAAGTACATTTGAGGAACAGAAGATCTCGGTCTTCATTTTTGCCATAGCTAGACTGATATTTAGGCTATGCCGACTCTTGCTTCAAATCAGATCCAACGACTCGCAAGTCTCAAACATGCTACATCTTCATCAAAAATGGAGCACCCATTTGTTGGTGATCCACGAAACAAACAATCACCGCAACTTCAACCAATCATGCTGAACTCCTTGTGTTTCACAAGGCAGCTCGCGAAGTAGTGTGGCTTCGCATCATGCATATCGCTATATCCAAAATGACTGGATTTCCACTCCAAGAGAAGCGAACAACAATTTTTGAAGATAACGCAGCTTATATTGAACAAGTATCTTATGGTTTCATCAAGTCAGACTGCGTCAAGCATACTAGTTCTCATTCGTTTAGCTACACACAAGATCTCACGGAGACGAGACAAAATGCAGTGCAAAAGATAGCTTAAGCGATGAACAAGACGGATATAATTACAAATGCATTACCACTTCCACAGCATCGAAAGCTCATAGCCGTAGAAGGGATGCAAACTTTATCCGAACTTCTGGACAACAGTTGAATTAGAAAGCGAACGACGATTTTACTTTTTTTCTTTAATCTTCTTGAAGTTTTTTATGAGGGAGTTCATAGTTCGGGGAGTAGTGTTGAGATAATCAACCGATTGTTTCTATTAAAAAAAAGGATTAACCCTAACCCTAAGAATTGTCGAGAGATCTAACCGACTATCTCATTAATATAGTATCAAAGAGTATTTACACCAATACTAATACTCCCATATAAATATAGGATTGAAACACTCTCCACACTTATAATTATATGATACTTTGAGAGTATTCAGAAGCGTTGTTCACAGAGAGATCTGAAGCAAGCTTGTTCATTGTTTCATTTGTCTCAATATTTTGTTCTTTAAGTTTCCTTCTCACAACAGTGAGTTTACTCCCGCTCATGTTGTAGCTTCAAAATCTCTTGAGTTTGTGTAATTACGATTTCAAAGATTTGTCATTGAGGCCATAGAGGCTCAAAAAGTTCATCGACGGCCCCAAAGTTTGTTGAGAAGCAAATTTAAATGCTAGCGGCCGTAAAGAAATATGTTAAAGGAATACATGCAAAACACAAAGCAACCAAAGCTACAATATACAACAAAAATTGTTGGATGAAAGTTGCAAGATTTATTTAAAAAAATTTGCAGATCACTATAGATAGTTTGTTTGTTTAGCTCCAAATCTTACAATCTTTTTCTACATGTCATTCAAGTCTGTCCAACGTTCGTGGTGCTCACATTTTTAAAAATACAAAATTTTGATGATAATACCTCCAAGCTTCTTTAAGAATTGTCACACAATTGACAGTCAAAAAAAACTCCCTGTCATTTTCAATCATAGACCACACTATGTTTTGAAGAGTATTGTTTGCAAGTGAAGACAACTAGAGTCTTCAAAGTATGATACCGTCTATTATTGACAAGATGGTTTCAAATAAATTTTCATCAAAACAAAATCAAAATAATTCTATGAATTTCAAACAATACATTTGACATTGAATGTCAAATGTCATACAATGATTACACATCAAAAATTTAAATTACTATAACACAATGGTTTAGAAAGAAGCTCACTCAAAGATGATAACCTAAACATTTAAGATTAGGTATATCAACAATGGTTCTTGTATCTTTTATATCAATCTTATCAACAAGTATGATGTATGATTTTGAAAATGTTTTCATCAAAACGCGATCAAGACAATTTTTCCAAATTACAAACAATCGATGAATTCAAGTCACAAATCCAAACCACCAACATGATCATAAACTCTAACACAATCATGTTTTCAAATGCTTATTTAGCTCCTAACTACGATGTACATTCAAATCCATGCAACCTGAAATGAGACTTCAATTCCTTGGTAAAATTCAAACAAAATTGAGCCATCAAATCCTTTCTACAATGCACATATACTACTTTTATGAATGTTGAATTTTGTAACATCAATTGATGTAGTACTTATAGTATTATATAATAAATTAATCATGATTATTTTAATTATAATAAAACCTAGTTAGTTTGATTAGGTTTAGCTAAGATATCTATTCTTGGCAAAATAACTAGAGTAGTTATAGAAAATTTAAGAGAGCATTTCTATTTTGTCTCTTACAAAAATCTAGATTCCAAGAAAAAAGATTTTTAACTACATGATTAGTTTTGACTAAATAATATAAACTTTACTATTTAGACTATGTCTAAAGTTTACTTAGTGGCAACTTGAGGTTCTAAAAGTTTGAAACTCTCAAATGACTTGTCGCTACCTCAATCCAAATATTATCAAAATTCTAGAAGATTTAGGTAGACAAATGGCATGTTGCCATGTATTGAGAACAAATCATGTTAGTTTTGACTAATATTATTTATTCTAGTAAAAGTAAATTATGAGGTAATTATCAAGTGTGACTATGTTAATGTTTTAAGTTTTGTATATATATATATAGAAAGATAAAAAATATTATCTTTTGCAAGTTTTGAAAGTTTGTTGTGTGAGAACTTGTTTCATCAATATAAATTTGAGTTTCACTATCCTTTTGAGTATAGATGAGTGTTTGCAATTTAGCAATGAGTGAAAATATTGTGTGAGAACGTGTTTTGAACGAACACATTGGAGAATCCTATCTTCTATGACTATGATGAGCTATCAAAAAGCTATTTAAAGTAAATCAAAGGTCACAATCCCATAGAGTTTTGAAGAAAAATACTAGCCGCGGCGGCGTGATAACGCAAACACATCATAGCTCGCCGTTGGCTGATAATCCTTATTACCGGAACAAAATCCTAGTTGTCGCGTCTAAAGCAAATACTTGTTCCAAAATACTAATCTTGGCTCCTAACAATAATATTAAGAATCTTACATACATTGTGATAGGTTTTTTGATCAAACGCATTGAATAACCCAGCTGCCACAAACATATCATAGTCATGATCTGATCATCTTAATCATCACAACAAATCTCTAATCGTCATGGATAAAGCAATTACTCGTCTCAAAATTCCAATCTTAACTGTCTGAGGTTTGTTAATCTAATGCATATGATAACCTAGCTGCCATAAACGCATTCTAGCCGTAACCGAAGAATCCAAATTTTTGCAAAATATTACTAACCGTTGCGTGTAAAACACGCATCGTTTCAAAATTGTAGCTTTGTCATATAAAGATACTTTTAATAATTATTAGTTAAGAATTTAAGACAATAGTGTGTTTAAATTATGACTTCTATGATTTTTGAGTCTATAATTAGGATAATTCAATGATGGCTAGGATATGTTTGTGGCGGCTAATTTATTGCATTTTTTAGATTGAAAAATGTTTTGTTATGGAACTCTAACTTCTAAAATATTCAATAAGAGCCAAGATTTGGATTTTGAGACGAGACCTTGCTATATTCACGAAGGTTAGGATTTTGTCTTGGTGATTATGTTTATCCAAGAACGACTAGTATGTGTTTGTGATAGCTAGGTTATACTATGTGTTAGAATGAAAAACCTGTCGTAGTGGTACTTAGATTTTTAAAATAATCACTAGGAGCCAAAATTAAGATTTTGATAAGAGGGTTTGCATTTTTTCTCGACAAGTAGAGTTTTGACTCGGTAATTTAAATTATATGGTAAACAGCTAGATTGTGTTTGTGGCGGCTAGTTTATGTTGTGCGTTAGATTAACAAAACTCTAGTAATGTAATTCAGATTTTAAAAATAATCAGTACATGCCAAGATTTTGAGATCACCACTTGCTTTAATCACAGTGGTTTTGTCTTAGTACTTAAGTTCATTTGGTTACGGGTAGAGTGTGTTTGCGGCGGCCATGTTATTTCGCGGCGGCTAGAATTTTCTTCCAAAACATTGTTTGACTCATCACGACAAGAATCAAACTCAACGTTCACAAGATTAGATTTGCGCATTGCAAAAAGAATTTGATTGCAGTATTGCTTTTGAGTCCAACAAAGTAACAAGAGTTTTATTCAAGGTTGCATAAATTCTAGTGAACATTGTTGTTAAAGCTCAGTACATGCTTGGTTAGAGTTTATGATCATGTCGGTAGTTGTCGTGCGAAGACGTATCGCCATATATCCTACATCGCTGATATGCTACTCACATACACACATGTAAGGCGCGAGAAAGTACACACTCGAATGTTGCAACTAAAATAAACGGGACATTCCCCATTGGGATTCCCGTCGGTCGTTTGCCCTACTGGCAAAATCGTCACCGTCACTGTCACAAACATAATCAAGCCCAACCCACTCCACACTCGGAAACTCCAGGTCTGACGCTAATGGACACTACTCCCAACACGCTAGGCTCGACTCGAAAAACTGACGTTCTTCGAGCCGTCTCCGACCTATACTCTACGACCTGAAACTCTAGGTTCGACGCTATTTTTAGCAAAACCGAAAACTACATGACATAGTTCAAAATTTTGTTATGAAATCATTAATTGTTTGACATCTAGAATTGCACTCATCGCATAAAAACATCTTTGAAATCATTTTGTCAATCATAGACTGCATCTATTTTGTTCGCTTTGATTGTATACGAGACTCTTGGCAACATGATGTGCTCTATGATAGAACATGCTTGGCAGTTTGCTCTTACTGACCATTAACTGGAAGATGTTGAGCATCGAAACATTACCACCAGAAGTGTACTTTTCCAGAACCGCCAACTGCATGGCAAATGTTGAGACTCAGGCACATTGTCACTAGAGGTTTGTACTTTTAAAAGCTTGGGCATCATTTGTGTACCACCTTCAATGATGTGTAGAAAAAGTTGTCAGATCCGCGGTTTGACAGAGAAAGCTATCTATAGTGTTCCTTACAAGTATCATCCAACAATTTTTGTTGTTTATTACAGCTTTGACGGCGTCGTGTTCGGCAAATATTTCTTCAAGAGCTTCCTTTGCGGATTCCAGGGTTTAAATTTGTTTCTCAACTAACTTTGACGTCTCTTGAGCAGCTTTTTGAACCTATACGCCTCAATGTCAACTCTTTGAGGTCGCCATTGTACAAACCCTGCACTCAAGAATAAAAGTGCTTGGAAGCATTCGTGATTCATTAAATGAAATACGCTAACAGAATAGTTGGAAATGCCGCAAGCAAAGATCATATAGCCAAGAAATTTGGAAACTACGACATAAACTGGGATAGAGTCACCGTGCTCTTAGGAGCTTGAGTTTTGTAACTTTGCACCTCAAGTATCATGCATGTTTAGTTCTCGTTGCAATACTGCAAGCAATTATTTTTCTCTCCTGCAATTTCATATCCATTTTTCTTTCAACTTTCATTAGTTAATGCTGTTTCTTGCGAGATTAAAGTCTTGGATCTTCAAGTAAGGCTTGCTCACCTCGGTCTCTTGCTGCAATGAGTAGGTTTCGAATATTCTTGTTGGGTCTGTGTGACAGCGGATCAGGGTGAAGTTTGTTGTCGTACTTATCTTTGGTAGTTTATCTTGTGTAAAATTAAACTCAACGATTTGCTACGGTACTCGTATACGATTTAATCAGCTTGATCACTCAATCATGGTGATGATACGTTGTACTTTGATTTATAATCTTATAAATGTGGTTTGATTGATCAATTTTAGAAATTGAAAATTTAGTATTGGATAATATTTGTTCATGTATTTGAAGTTATAATAGTCACGATATTTTTTTGCACAACGCGAATTTTATTCTCAAACTTATGACAATCTTAAAAAATCATGAAATCAAGTGTTATACAACCTCTGATTATTTTTTCGTGGATAGTTTCATTTCGAGTACAGTTCCTGAAGACTGCTTAACATCAACAGTGTCCAACCCTTCTAAGTGCGTGCGATTGCGGCTGCAAAGCTGCTGGGATGTGATAGAAGTGTGATAGTGGAAATTTCACCACGATATACAAAGTTCGTGATATTGTGGGCTAGGTTAATTACAAACCACCAATCCAACGATCAACATGTCTTCAGTTTATAGTTTTGTATAGAAAGGAAAGTCAGAAGATTTCATCTTACACACTAACTAATCATAATTATATAAATGTAATCAACGTTCACAAAATGTACACAGCAATTCAAAACTCCATTTGGAATTTCTTGCGAGAAAATAAATAGGTGTAATAATCAAATCTGCGAAGGCAGAAGGTTTTACAGCTAACTAGACTTGTAAGTCCGTTCAGCGTACACTTTTCTGTCTCATGGTTGTATGTCGTGATCTTCGGGGATCTGATCTTCGCGTACAATCGCACATGGGCGATTGACTTGTATTGACATCCATTCATCCTCAACAGTGAGCAAACGGATACAATCGAAGGAACCTACTGTTCCTGTGTACTTCCCGAATGTATTAATAGGGTTTTATTGCGCTCCAGACAACATTCGTTCGCAAAAATAATCCCCAAATTAGGAGTGGACAATCAGTAACGTACAGTTCTGGAAGGTCCAATTCAGACTAAAAGGCTTCATATTTCTGCAACTAGGAAAAGACCTTCCTCTTTATATACACCTCGACTGACCAACATGATACATTTGCCTTGCGGAAGAAAATACATATACTAACCGTACGATTGTGGAATAAGGTGTCAACACAGTCGCAATATGAGACTTCTTCCACAAACTATTGATAGTAACTGTACAGTTAGTCTTCGACGTCAACAGCCTTCAAACGCTTTGAGCGACGAGGTTTGGAACATTCTCTTGAAAATCTGCACTGGCCTCTGGAGTATCTTCTTCACTAGGAGGAACGAGTTGCCAAAACATCGGGAGATACTTCTCCCAATTTTCCAACACCAGTTGTCCTCTGGTACTTCCGGTCTTGTCCTGAAAAACGTCCAGTGCATTTTTTAAATTTAATAATCCCATGTCCATCATCTTTTCAGGGACAAAACACAACACCTTTTTTCCCCCATGAAAATCTGAAGCTAAAAGTAGGTTTTTCACTCTAGCCAATTCTTTTCTCTGTTGGAGATAACCTACAACCGACGAATATTATACATATACTTTGTAGGTGGTATCTACATTTATCTCAGCCAGATTTGACATGATAGAATCACTCTTTACGTAAATATACCGTTCCGCAAACCCGAATCACAATATGAAGTGTTTTGAACTTACCACATGGGCCTGAATCAGCCGTCGTAGAAGTTGTTGTCCAGCAGGAGAGATCACACGTTGCATTTTCACAATCTCCTTGTTTACCTGTAGTCAGAGAGAAAAGTTCAATTAATACCAAAATGACCTCTTTGAATACAGCGATAATGAAGTTACAAAATTGACAAATAACTCGGACGATACTGGCTTCATCAGTCGAAATCATAAACTGAGATAATTCACGGTTGGCAACTACATCTGTAAGCTGCAAGATGCAAGTTTGGTAGTAAACTGTGTAGCAACTTCTCCGCACTATTTAGGTCATGAGATGTAGGTCCAATTCACCGAAGATTAAGATGTGAACGAACCTTAGATGTGAACGTATCATCTTCATCCAAGAAATATGCTAGACCTCCAGTCATTCCTGCGCCTACATTCCTTCCAACTCTGCAAGCCAATCATGGCAATGTGCTGCTGAGAGACTGCATTCATTTGGGCCGCTTCCGACCAAAGAAACCTTCCTCTCCACGTATACGACATGGATGAGATACTAAAAACACTCGGATTTTTCCTTTATTAGACAGATGATATTTCATGTGGTATAAGGATCAACATACAAATTATCAATCTTCGCCAGGCAAGCAAGACCAAAGATGAATGTGATAAAAGAAAGTAAATCTACGCAATTGCAGAGGGCACTTACTTTCCCAAAGATACAACACATCCGCCGGTCATATATTCACAGCTGTGATCTCCACAACCTTCTACCACTGCTTCTGCTGAAGAGTTACGGACAGCAAATCTTTCGCCTGCTTTGCCTAGGGCGAAAAATTGCCCACCTGTAGCACCGTACAAACAGGTATTTCCTACAATAGTGGCATCCTCTGGTGCGAACTTCACGCCATCGTGAGGAACAATGACAATCTCACCACCAGCCATTCCCTGCAATTGGGTCATGTCAAATTTTTGGCTTAGAAACTAAGAGAAACATATAAGATGCATGCCGGAAGAGAATGGCTGATGACAAGAGGAATCCAGCCACTTGCACTAAACTGTAAAGGGAACGAAACAGTTGGAAGTCCTTATCATGAGGGGGAAGACCCTTTACCTTCCCGACGTAGTCATTGGCCTCCCCGACAAGACGGACGTTCATACCAGGGGTTAAGAAACATCCAAACGATTGACCGGCACTGCCCTCGAATCTGCAGGAAACAAATGAAAAAAGACATCAGAAACAATATTTGTTCATCGTGGTAATTTCGTTAGCTTACGTTGGTAGTAATGAAACGTAGATGAAAACAGACCACTCACCAACTAAACAAATAAACAAAACAAATAGAGAAAATACGGCCGCGCGTATTCGAGGTAGCTCCAAGTCCTTTGAGAAGACAAAAGGAGAGACACAAATGCATGCAACAAGATCTTGAAATAAACTATTAATCTTCGAGCCACGACGTTGGGAAAACATCTTCTTAGAGACGTAATCAAGTAAAACAGTCGCAGTTCGAAAAGCAATGCAGGGAGTGGCATGGCCAATTCTCGTCGCGAAGACTCATGACCTCCAAAACTCGAAAACAGGCCGTTTGAAAAATCCAAAGGCACCATCAAATTCGAAGGTCAGCTTGCAAGTGTTCATCGTTTTCTTGCTAGTCATCTCTCTACGTGCTAATATGTGAATGGTGAAATTCAACTCAAAAAAGAAATGTCTGTTATTCAGTAGGCTAATACTCACGTAAGGTCGAGACGTCCAGCGAAGCCTTCACCATGTTGTTTAGCAATGGCACCAGCGACCCGGCCACAAACTGACCTATCAACGTTGAATATTTTTGATTTCTTTGCCGCCGTCTTTTCTTCTTTGATAGCCTCGGCGATCTGCGAACGAAGTATTTTGCAAGTCAGGAAAAGTGACATACCAAACCTAGAGATTGAGCTTGATGGAGCAGCTTAATTGACGGGGGTCTTCTGTTCTTCGACGATCAGCTATCTAGTGCTTTCTTGCAACTAGAAATCCCAAGTGAACACAAAACACATAAACTTGTCTTGCATAGAGACTAAGGTTACTGCCCCGGATGCGCTCGGCGTCTACGCGGCAGACAACCTACACATCAACTGAAATGCACTGGCCGATCCTTACAAAACAGGTAACAGTGACAATGCAAGAATGAAAATATATCTTTGCAGATGTTGAATTACCAGCTATCAAATATCAACGAATATTACCTCAGGATCAGCTAAAATAACGTCATCCAAGACGGGGCCATTCGAATGAACGGGCTGTTGTCGAATCTTAGTACTACTCATCTTTGGAAGCCCTGCATTCTACAAAGACACAGACGACATTTTGATCCATAGATGTCCTCGCACGACATAAAAAAATAGAGAACGGCCATGGGCCTCTGGCCTCCAGGCATGTATATTAAAAATTATAAATGTAACTGAGTGAAAATGTAGTTTGTTTTTAAAAGGTTACTAGAAGTTCAACAGGACAAAGACGCGACAAAGACTTGAACTTACTGCCAGGATAAAACTCATATCCACGTGCTGAGTCTTCGTTAGCTGAGTGTCTCTCAGTTTCAGTAAATCAACCCTCCCGATGATATCGTCCAGCTTTTCAAAGCCCAACTTTCCTAAGATGCCTCGAACCTACATTCAGGAAACTCATATTAGAGACAAATGTTTCAATCGTTCCATAACCGCACCACATGCTTACGTACAATATTATGCAACCAAGGCTTCTATTCAGCTGGTTTGCACCCGTGAAACCAGAACAGCCAAAGACTGAAGTTCGTGAGGGCAAGGTCCTCTACTGTTATGTACTTGGAGAATGTTCTATTCCTAAAGGCGCTTCTTGATATAGTTTTCTTCAACAAACTGTCAAGAGATAGAAGTAGAGCAAACATTGCGTAAGCCTTTGATAGAATTTTTAACTACTAGTAATTGTTGACGACAGAGAAAGTGCTTATCCGAGATTCCGTGTGAGATATAATATGACTTATATTCTATATGTCGGGTTGAATAAAACCAAAAAAGACATTTCTTGAATGTCCATTCCCATGAAAATACGATATACCGTTGATATGAACACATGTAATGAACATCCGCGTCATAGAAACCACTACAAACAAACAGCTGATTATAGATATTCGTGTATATGACCACCACTATGAAGTTTCAGTCCATCTATAGATGTGAAGGATATTTGTGCTTCTAAGAAATATTCTTACCTCTTCGGCCACGTAAAGGAAATAGTTTACTAGATCCCCGGGAATACCAGGAAACCGTGCACGTAATTCCTCCCTCTGCGACAACCACAAGATATCTGGTAAGGTTCATAAGCTTTTGAAGTGAAAGTGCAAGCTTAATTTATAGAAAACTTCATCCGCTAAAAACTACCAATTCAAGACTTGGAAGTATGAATTTACTTGGCTAGCGACACCAACGGGACAGTTGTTGGTGTGGCAAATACGCGCCATGACACACCCGGTTGCAATCATCGCAATCGAACCGAAACCGTACTCATCTGCTCCCATGGCAGCTGCCAACACAACATCTACACCACTCTTGAATCCACCGTCAACTCTCAGAGTCACTCTTTCTCGAAGCCCATTGTTGAGAAGAGTCTGCAACCCAAAAAAGCCATGTCAGTAAACACAGACATTCCTAAGACGAGAAGTAAAGATTGACAATATTTGAAATCGCATAAAGCAGCCTCTATACACTCTCGGAATAACCAAGATAATATGCTTACTTGTTGAGTCTCAGTTAAACCCATTTCCCAGGGACCACCAGCATGTTTAATTGAGCTGATTGGACTAGCTCCCGTTCCTCCATCGTGACCAGAAATCTGATCCAAGAAACACTTTTTAGTCATATGTCATTGTAATCGTTGCCTCCCTTTCCTAAGATACAAACAGAACCGGCTAGATATGACTGCGGCGTGGTTGCAAAGCCATCGAAGAGATATGAAGACTTTAGTGATCATCCATGCCCACGAACCTGGATAACATCCGCATTCGCTTTGGCAACACCACTTGCAACAGTTCCAATTCCAGCTTCGGCCACCAACTTGACTGAAACTTTGGCATTCGGGTTGACCTGAATTCCAACCATTACAAGATTACACACAGCGTGTGAAAACTTCAGTGTAACTGCAAGTGAGGCGGCAAACATACACAATACACCAACCGCCTGATGTGATCGAAATCCTTTCGCGCACGTGCATGGGGTAAGGAGTACAGAAAAATCATAAGAATGCATATACATACCTGGTGAAGATCATAGATGAGTTGTGCCAAGTCCTCGATGGAGTAGATGTCATGGTGAGGAGGCGGGGAGATCAGTGGCACACCAGCCTTCGAATTTCTTAGTAAAGCAATGTAGCCACTGACCTTCTTTCCTGGCAGTTGACCACCCTCTCCTGGTTTAGCCCCTTGTGCAATCTTGATTTCAAGTTGCTCGGCATTGGCTAAGAAAGTTGGAGTGACACCAAACCGTCCAGAAGCGACCTGCCATTGAGTTGACGCATAATACCTCAGCACAAAATCGGAAACAAACTTGCATAGGAGGGAAAGTGAATATATTGCATATTCATGCTAGACCATAACAAGCCAAAAAAGTATCAGTGCCCTGAAACAGATGCATACCTGCTTGATAGCGCTAGTGGCCAAGTCCCCATTTTGTAGACCTTTCAAGTGAGGTAAAGTTGGTGAGTATCCATCACGTACGTCGTCAAGATTCCTCCAGCGCACAGGATCCTTTGAGAGCAAAATAAGAGAATTAGACAAAGGATACAGGGCTCGAAACGATGTCCTGACCAAGTATCGGCATACCGCACAGTCGTGGGTAAACAGACGAGTAATCTCAATACTTACAAACGTTAAGTATCCAATGGATGTGAGACACAATTTATAATTCCATGTAGGACCAACAAGCCATTCAACGAGCAGTAAGTTCGCCCAGCATCTCTTTTCAAAGTATCGAGGCTTACCTCACCACCTTCACCAGAGTTAGACTTCCCACCAATTCGATTCATCGCTATCGCAATAGCTTCATGAGTTTCTCTAGAAATAGCACCCAGAGACATGCCACCAGTACAGAAGCGTTCAACTATACTCGTCGCAGGTTCCACCTTCGACGTGGAGATTGCAGGTCGATCACTTTTCAACTCCAACAGATCCCGTAGCACCTGCAAAAAGAACACAGTACACTTAGCTGCCTGGATATCATATGTATTGTTCGTTTGTATACACAAACCAGCGTCCTCTTTACCTTATGGTTCAAAGAAGTTGTTCTCTTCTTTGGTAGAGTACGGCGAAATTGATAGATGCCGCAGACTTGATATAGAATTGAGCTACAGAAGATAAATTAACTAGAAAATTATGTTCACATTACTAAGGTTTATACTCGGCTTCTAATGGAGTGCTGACTCATGACCTCGGCAATTTCTGAAAAACAGATTCCGGAAGACATATCTACTCTTCGCTAAAAAATTGAGACAGGCTGCCAGCCGGGATAAAATTGCAGACAAAGTAGGGAAACAACTGAAAGCATATCAAGTTTGACGATTCAATTGTCTGTAAGTGTAGCTTGGAAAGAAATTCACATTGACAGGGCGGGTGGATAGATGCTCCTGGTAAACTGCATATGCACTCTCCATCTTCTCGCGGACAGCCTTGTGCAATAACTTTGACATCTCAGGATTGTTCCCATGGTATTCACCTACAGCCACCGAACACCGATTCAATACGTATGACTTCAATTTCATATACGAAAGTGGTGTAAACCCAAACGGATGCTTTTATATATAAAGCCTACACTTAATTGTGGTAAAAATTCGATCAATTTGCTGACTGTGATGAGAACAGAAGCACATAGTTGTTGCGATAAAACACTGTTTGGCATCCATCAGGAGGAAACTCATCCAAAACCGTGTACTAACCTCCGGGCCTGAACTGAATGAAACCGAAGTTCTCGAGCTTCTTGACTTGTTCCTCTGAAAAGCCCTTAGACCAAAATGACACACTCTCGCGGGCCAGCTACGGTTCAAATAACAACAACCCACAAGTCAGCTCAAAGTTTTGCTCTGCTGTGAGTAAGTTTCGATTTTCGCAAGACGAAGAGTACCCGCCTAAACACTACAAGGTCTGTGTTCAATATTCACAACATGCTGAACATTAGCGGGCACTATTTCCAGTAGAGAATTGATGTTATCTTCCTGATAAATGGAAATTGAATACTTAGTAGTAACTCTCACAGAACAAAATTGGTACCCTCTCACAGGTGCCACAATATCGTAAAAGCAAATCCATAATTTCCTCTTCTCGAGACTAAGAATCACACTTCTCACAAGTATTAGGTTAAAATACAAATGTCTCAGTAACAGCTCGTTTAGCGGTTAGGGAAGATCATACGTACTTCGTCTAATGTCAAACCCCCGATTCTGGAAACTGATCCTCGAAAGGCCATGTCGACAACATCTGCACCTAGTCCGTAGATTTCAAAAATCTGTGCTCCACAGTAACTGGAAAAGGACCCCGACAAATTAGAGTTAAAAAACGGCAGAGAAGGTTTCGTGACTCACATCGAGCAGAAAACACTACTTTCCCGGAAAAGACGATTTTAAAAAAAAGAGCCGACCTTGAGAGCAATGATATGCCCATTTTCGAAAGAATCTTCAGAAGTCCTGCTTTAACAGCCTGCGGAACAGCGGTCATATCATTAAATGAGACGGTTCAGCTCAAAACGAGATGGTTTCCTAAGTACATATCCCAAAAATCTCAAGTGAGAAACATGATTTTAATGTTCTTGCGAGATCTACGGCTTGATGTCCAAAACGATGTCAGTGCCTCAACCATCTTAAATAATGTCCAAGACTCAACCTGACAACATCTGCTCTAAGTTAGATCTTTCGGACTCAAGCAGGAATACATTAAAACAAGGCCTCACAATGAGAAGTAAAGAGCAAGATATGCAGCAATCCTATTCCGAATAGAGCTCAGACACGCTCGTCGCCTACTAACTACCGTGAATAAAGTCTGACATCCCTCACGAGAGACTCAGAGATACTGAAATACCCATTCAAAGCTTCAAATGAGCAGTTCAAATACCTTGCGGAAATTGTTTTGCGTCTGCTCAACTGTGGTCGACGGAATCTTTCCATTCTTCATCAGGTTTACAGTTTTGGAGCTAGATCGCCACTGTCTACAACTCTCAAGTGCCAGATAAGGGCACACGGCACTGTCCACAAGAAACCACGTTTATATTATGAATTCGCGGGGCAAACACAACAGAAGTTCCACTCTATCAATCCCCTACTGTGACATTGTTTGCTTGATATGACGATTCGGATCGGACAAAATATAAAGCTCCGTAAGATGCATTACTGAAAACTAGGAAAGAGATAGCAAACGTTTCATCTGGATTTAGAAAACCGTAGAAATTGAACTATCGTATATCGCAAGAATAAGGTCAAAGCATACCTAGCCCCGTATCCAATGAGGCAAGCAAAGTGATGTGTGCTGAAACACTGAGCAGTCTCAACAACTATAGAGGCTGAGAGCCGTAAACCATTTTGAATGAGATGGTGATGCACAGCTCCCACTGCCAACAAGATAGGAATTGCTGGCCGGCTCGCTTGCTAAAATATGGACAAAGACAGATAATTAGTGTGATGCGTATCCATGGTAAATTATGTATAAAGTGAGAACTTCTATCAGCAAATGACAGAAATTTGGCCTGGGCCGAGATAAACTATTGACGTTTCATGTGAAGGCCCAAAATGTTGTGAGTGTGATACTTCAACACCGACATGTGCAACTCTTCATTAATAATCTGATGTATTCAAGATATTAGCGGTCACATCAAATCCCATCTAGCCGACTTGACGAGGTAAATTCGATGATAAAAGCTCTCGCAAACAACATAGAAAGTTAGATGGCTACTAGCTTACCATATCGTCACTACGATCACTCAATATTAGAAGCTGAGAACCGGCACGGACTGCTTCGTCCGCAGCTTCGCATAGGTTGTCTAGTGCCCTCTGTAGCGAGCCTTCGATGCCATTACTAATATCAAAAAATACTGGGAGAGTTGAAGATTGAAAGATAGGATCCCCTTCCAACAATTCCAACTCGCTCTCGCTTAGAAAAGGATTCGACAACGTCATCTGCCAATGAGACACAGAGTTCAGACACTTAGATGTTGCGAAGACAAGTACAAGGTCAAGACCATGCATTGTTTGACCTCTTTCACAGCGAACATTTTGGTTTCACTTGCATAGATGCGTGAACTTCTATCGGCTACAACCTTTTTCAAATATAGCGTCACTCTACGGTGATGAGCAGTCCAAGTACTGAATACGCATAAACCGAACCCTAGGTGATTGGACAGTAAAAACGCCACCTTACTGGAAAACAGTGCTTGGCCAGTGCCTTAGCCAATTGTGCAATTCAGAGACATATCTTTTAAAAATCAACATGCCAGAAGGGACAACCGGAATACCTGTGCAGCATTCTCTGGTCCAGGTACCAGCAGATTTTCTCGCTTTCCTAAGTTGACTTCTAATGACATTACCAATCCCTCTCGCAGAGGATCGATAGCTGGATTAGTTACCTGCAAGTAATATTTCGACAGACCACACATTATCACACATAACCCTCTACTGAACTAATTCTCTTCAGTTCCTATGAAACATCAGTCCACCTGACATCAAGTTTTTAATGGTACTATGCATACACAGTGCAGATTCCATCTCTTTGCGAGAGTCAAGTCTCTTTAAGGCTTTGTGCTTGGATTGAGCGTAGAGAAGACTAATAAGTCAGAACTGGCATTTGACAATACAGGAAGTCGAACAAAATTGTTCAGTGACTCTACATACCACCTTTGGGTTCACCCATCAGTATCAAAGAGTTTCGAACCATAAAAATACCTGCGCAAATCGCTGCTTGAAGTAATCATACAACATGTGGCCTCTCTGAGACAAAACTGCCAAAGGAATGTCATCACCCATACAGAAGGTTGGTTCTTTTCCCTGGGACGCCATATTCTCAATAACCATTTGGACATCTTCAAAAGAATAACCAAATGCCCTGCGTGAGACAAAAACTCTTCTCAGTCCAGCACTGACGATAAATGAAACAGATGTGTAGTTTTGAGTACGATACTTAGCTCAAGACGTACTGAATTTTCTACCGAATTGCTCCACGTGCCCCAGTGGGTAGTTAAGGAGATACTGGAAACTTAATGGATATTTAAAACTGTGACTTACTGTTGACGTCGAAGTAAACTTTCAGAGTCCAACTGGGTCGAGCTCAAAAAGCTCGCCTTTGGAAGTGTCCGACTTCCTTCATCCAGCCATTGTCGGTATGGTTTAGCACTAGCAACGCGCTTCTTTACTTCTGTGTTTTCAAAAACCTGTATACGCCGTACACAACAAAGATACTTGAGTAACTTTTTAGTTAATCAAACACAAAACATATATTTCGTAGACGGAAAAGAAGGAACAAGAGTCATGAGAAAAATTTTTAGATACCTCGCCAGATTCTAAGTTGACCGATATCATCATACCAGGCCCAAGACGCCCTTTCATGATGACTTTATCCTCATTTGAGTGAAGCACTCCAACCTGCTTTCGTGAAATCGGCCACAGTCAGTATTCATATCTATAACATCGACAGGTAAGAACTTCCTCTACCCTTCAACTCATTTCTGTGATAATTTCAATAACTTTTTCTGTCAAGTCCTGAGCCACATGCTTTACTAGAAAACTGGAAAACTCAACGGTAAGGTGAATTCAACAATATCTTGCGGCCCTATATCCAATTCTACTGTGCATCCTAAACGAGGATCATGTTCTGAAGATCGTGTATACGTCTGAAACATCACCTCAGACGCCACATAGAGCATGTCGTCTTCTGTTCGCCAATAACGCGCGGGACGCAGACCGTTTCGATCAAGGCACGCTCCTACGGTTGTTCCGTCGCTGCATCGCAAAACTCACAAATCAACTTACAGACAAACCCTCTGATTCGTTTGCAACTCACAAAAACAACAGCTATCCAGATCTTCAGAGTCAGATATAGCACGGATGTGCACGTCTTTATCCTTGATACCTATAAGGTACAACAAACGTCCAGAGATATGTCCCTACTCATAAACAATCACTATACATGCAATCGCTTCGCTACTTTAGCGAAATCGTCGTTGAAATGAAGATAAGGTAGACCAAATTCTAAGTTTACTGGGAAGTCTGTGCCATGCACAGCACAACATACTCAGAGACTAAGGGGATGAGAATAAAAACCTGAACAGTAAAAGTGCAGGGCCGTCCCAGGCCTCCATTTGACCTTTGTAATAATCATAAAAGTCCTTAACCTGGAGTGGAGAGATGATCGTCCAAGGAGGTCGGTCAGTCTTACGAAACTAAAAACTCTATGTCTCTGTTCACTGAGCATTTCTAGGAATAAGGAGAGGAGTAGAAAAGTTGAGACAATCTTGACTAGAAAAGACTGAAATAAAAACCGGGATGAACGTCTGGCTTTCATCCAACATATTCAAACCAAGTAACAAGCTAGGCGATCAAATTCAAGATAAAACAGGAAACGAGAAGCTATTTGCAAGAGGATCGACGAGCAATTGATATCACCGGCAACTCTTAGAATCACCCATAGAAACATGCGCACATACAAATCGTGTATACTAGATCTGCAGTGATTAGATTAGATCGCATCCAGGCAATCAAGACTGACCCCGTTGAAGATCACTCCATCCATCTATCGCTAAGCAAAGCAATTAAATCATAAGATGGAAGATTACCTCTGGATACTTCACATCAAGAGTTGGGTGATTCTTGTAGGCTTCTGGAACAAGAATCATTAATGACTCCTCCGGGCTGCGTCCGCTTCGGATAAGCAACTGTTCAATGGAAAAGAAAGACAAACTGCTGAGTACAAAATACACGATTCTTCAGGAGAGAAACGGGTTATCTGGGCAATAAACGAAAGAAGGTAGGAGATTAAATATTCAAGACGGGGATATTCAGATATGGTCAAACCTCAGCTGTGATGTCCAGATTGGCGGAATCAGAAGCTTTTGCATTACCAATCGGTCTAATGTCCTCTTCTCTACCATGCCAGACAGGGCTGTACATTGTCGCCTCACGTGATCGCATCCAATTCAGATTACCCTACGCATTGGGAGGCAAAGCAAAGTCAGAAACTGGACTTTGACTTTAAAAGATATGGCAATGGTCACGACCAAGTGGGTATACAATAAGAATGAGGAAGACCCAAGCAAAGTACGGGCGTCGAGGTCTCATAGGAAGAATACAATGCAGAACGGCCAGTGTGGCCCATTGTGCACAGTATGACGGAATCCAATTAGACGCGGAATTCATATTGGCCCATTTCCGAACGCAGACAAATTACCTACCTGCAGAGTGTTAATCTCTCCGTTGTGCCCTAAAAACCTCATTGGTTGAGCAAGGGGCCATCGTGGATTTGTGTTTGTACTGAAGCGTCGATGATAAATAGCAAATGGAGACTTGTACAACTCATTTTGCAGATCCAGGTAGAACTCTCCCAAGACTTCAGATCGCAGCATTCCTTTATAGACAATCGTCTGACTGGATAATGAACAAAAGTAAGTCTCCTCGCCCCACGGCTCAGTTAGAGCTAACTTCTCCACTAACTTGCGGGTAATGTACAACTCTCTTTCTATGTCGTCGACTGATTCTTCTGCTGCAAGCTTCACAAAGACCTGTTGAATGCTTGGCATTGTTTTCTTCGCATAGTACCCTACACATGCTTCGTTGCAAGGTACCTGCCTCCAACCTAGAATTTCTAATTTTTCGCCGGCAAATACCTTCTCCATGGCTGCCACAAGTCCAAGAGTAAAAGATTAGCCATCCAAATCCGCGGTGGAACAGAAAATCGAAAAACCGCGTGGGCAGAACGGAGGTCCCATGAGTTGATCTTTGGGTTTTCCCATTTGACCGATGACATCGATTGCCAGTGGGTCCTCTCGCAAAATAAACACTAAACATACATCCGAACTATGAACGGCAATATAGTGATAGGTGTATAGGAGTTGGTATGACCTGTACGGCGATGGATGAACTGACATAAGTCAATTTATTCAAGGAAATGTAGTAGAGGTAGAAAAGTTAAGAACCAGATAGTCAAGGCTACGTTTCAATGCAGGGACACTGCTGCACCAATACATTGATGACGGCAATTACCCAAACGATCACAAGAGATTCAACTATGCACCTTCTGTAAGTGAAAATTCTCAAAAGATGTTCATTGAAGGCGTATGATAGTATTGGCTTGGTATCACGCGGAGGTGTAGATATTGTTGCTACGTTTGCTACATCGGCTTAAAACTATTGGGAGCAGACATTGGGACTTTCAAAAGTCTAAAATCTCCATTAGTGAATCTTGTCGCCTTCTAACGACAACGAAATTGTGGAAAGGTAGAACTGATATCATCCCAGGAAACAATACTGGGTAGACTAAACTCCTACACAGTTGTGCAAGGGAGACCCGAAAATCAAAATGGGCAATCTCCAAATTCGTCCATTGACTGTTCTCCACGGGTGTAAGAGCGCGATAGAAGTTCCACGACTATCGAAGTTCACAACAAGGAGGAAGTGGCAATCTATCTTTTCATCACTAAGGATATCTGAAAATTTGACCATATTACTCATCCAAAATATACTCGCAATTCATGACATTCACCTGCTAAGGCTGCAGACTGCAGCTGTTCATCCTGTGGCAGGAACACCATTCCCACTGCCACCTTCGCACCGCTGACAGGAGGTTTACCCTGCTCCTTGAACCAATGATCGAACAGCTCCCACGGAATCCTTGTCATGACTCCTGCACCGTCACCCGAATCATTGTCTGCTCCGCATCCTCCTCGGTGTTCCATACAACTTAGAGCAGTGAGAGCATCTTGGACGACTTCGAAGGACGCCTTATTTTTTAAGTTGGCAATGAAGCCAACTCCGCACGCATCTCGTTCTGCTAGAATATCTTCCATATTCGCGACCTGCTCGTTCAATATTGAGAAATCGCGCCATTGTTAACAGGAGGAGCAGTCCAATTGCAGAACACGTTCTAGCTCTGAATCGTACGCACTTCACATTCAAGAATGACACAAAGTCCAGTTGCGGAGCTGAAAGAAGGATGCGACCGGCATCACGCCCGGGAGGATCTTCTAGCGAGAGTGACCACGCTCCAACTCGAACGTTCGTACATACAAAGCAAGCACGTGTTCGTTCCCTGGAATCCAATTGAGGTGCAAGAAGCAAAGCTGTAGGTTTGAGTGGGTGTTCCGTGCCCAAGTGCCACCCTTTACATTACCTCATAAGTCCTTGCCGCAGGCGCGGCAATTCCAGCTCCATTGACGAGCGATGCACAAGCCTGCTTCCAGGTTTGGCTGCGGCCGACATTCTTTCTCCTGGCCGGAGATTCATGAGTGCCTAGAGATTTGCTGAGCTTGGATGCTCCATGGAGGCCATCAAAAGCGGGAATTCGGAGCCTGTCTTTCAGATGGAGACCAGATGCGACGGTGGCAGCAGGAGAGACACTTGGCAGAGCGGCGAGGGACGAGGAAGACGCGAGAGCAGGAGACAGACATGAGCAAGAACTGACAGGAGATCTTGCGACAAGGCGTGGTGCGAGAATGCAGCCCGACGCCATTGCAGGCCGAGCCGGGAGAAATCGTTGGAAATCTGGGCGCAAAAGATGGCAGCAGCGGCTCGGAGGGAGTGCGGCACACTGCACAGGCGATGGTGGAGGAGAGGAGCAGGAGAGGAGCAGGAGCAGAGCGGAGTACGACGGCCCCCGAGCGATCGATTGGAACGCGCCCGCGCTGAGACTGTGGCAGCTCTACAGCGTTTACATCTGCGCCTCCTGCTCGCAAAGATCGGATCAGGAGATTGAGGTGCGCGCGACTCCGCCTTCGACCAGCAGTGAGCGGAATCGGCGAAATTATATATTCTCGGGGCCACGCGCCCGGTCTGACGTAGGGTGCAGAGGAGCGCCTCACCTCATGCACACATCGCAGCCTCGTCTTCGCCTCATATGCACCCTCTGGCTCTGCTTCCGGTTCGTCCTCCCTGGCGAGTGGAGCGAATCCGACGAACGAACGCCTTCATCCGTTGCTCCAGGTCAGCCTCATGTCCCCATTCACTGCTGCCGAGCCCGCAAAAGCGACCCGCGCAAGGCGATGAACGCCTTTACTGTTTTGCCCCGGGCGACCAATCGCGCCCTGCGTTTTCAGCTGAAGCCCATCGGATTATTTAAAATATTCCATAATCGCCGTCCGTCCGTCCGCCTCCGTCCTGCGCCCCCAGCCGCTGATTCCGCGGACGCTGCCCACGCCCGACGGAGACCGCGCCCGGCCACGCGATCCACAGAACGAGAGAATGAGGATTGCGAACACAAGGATGAGCTTCCGCAATGCGGTATTAATAGCTTTGTTGCTATGTGCCAACGGGGACCGGCGGTCCGGATCGTACGTGGAGCTATGTCGAGCAAGCCTCCGCGCCTAGGGGTCTACTCGCCGGATCATGCCCCCACTTTCCCCCTTTGCTCCGCTGCGCTGTGCGCTCGGGTCAACAGAGCAGTTTAGGGCAGTTCCCTCTTCCCGTCCCTTCCTTCTCCAACCTCCTCGTCTCGGACACATCCCCTTCACTGTTCTCGCTAGTCGCTTCGGCTTTGTAAGCGTCGGTCTGCTCGCTTGTGTCCTATGGTTCCATTCGATTCCCGGGCCGATTTGTCGATGCTCGGAACCGTTTTTCCCTCATTTCCTGTCCCGAGCGTTGGAGTTCCTAAAAGGGCTTCTATTTTGAGTCGATACAGTACCGGGGTTTGTGCGGCTTCATCCGGGCATTATGCGAACATCCTTTCCCTGGTCATTGGAGATGGTAACTTGAAATATTGCTTGATGGAGTAAGTTTGTTTTGTTATGGTGGTTTTGTTATGTTTTATGATTCTATTAGAATCGAGTGAATAGGATAGTGAAGGTGTGAAGGAAAAGTAAGAGCTATTTTTAGAGCTTAGTGTGTTCGTGGTGAGCGTTTCGTAGGGTGTCCTACGGTGGGTGGTTTTGCAACTGGCCATGTAAACATGTCTTTAATTTGTTCTGTTTGAATCTACAGCACGTGGAGGTTTTACTATCTGGATATTCTATCGAGCCGAAGAAGTAAACAAACCACAAACCAACAGAATACCAGGTAGTAAAACACCTCGTACTGTATATCAAAACTATCAATACAAAACAATCTGCGAACAACATGGGCCTACGTAACTCGATTCTCATCTTGAACAATAATTGCGTGAGCTGAAACTCCAAAGAGAGTACATTGATCTAAAAAGTTCTATCATCAGTTTATCTCTACGGAGCAATAATATAGGTTCTAAACACTCCTTTGCTTTAGTAACATTCGAGAGCTTGATTGTAGAGCTGACATCTAAGTCTATGTGAAAATTTATCTTGGCATAATGTTTTCATGTACATTACAACCAACAAAATCTTGTTATTGCACATACAACTTGAAAAAGTGATTGCTCTTAACCAAACAAATAAAGTTATTTGCAAATAGCTGAAAAACCTATACATTGAAGGAATTAAACACTAGTCATTTTTTTTAGCTACTAGTTGTGTCATAACATGAGTCCACCATAAACATATGCAACTTCTTGTAGTCACTAAAATATCCTCCAAGTAGACTCCAACATCATATTCTATCAAATAGGTTGTCTTTTTATCTAGCTGAACCATCATCTTGTATTTTCTTATCACTAAAATGTTCATATTTATTCCCACATACATCATACTTTTTAGTATTATCTCAAATTTGTACAAAATTTGCCTGGTTTATAAAAAACATGTAGAATAAACTTTAACAAATTTCTATCTTTTTAAACAATATGTGGACTATATCTTTATATTTATAATTTCATATAAAACATATTTTATGGAATTATTTCAGAAAAATACTTAACAAACTTGTCTTTTATACATCTAATTTCTTGTATAAGATTGACGTCTAATCATCATAATAAAAAACTGAATAATTATTTATGATTTTTAATGAATATTTTGATAAGAATTAATTCTTGTAGTTAGCAGGATAAGGTAAGTGGGAACTAGCCTTAAGATTTGCTTCTTTGCGGTGTTGAAAATTGGAGGCAGCAAGATTTAGCTCGCACTCCTTAACATTTTATTAGTCCCATGTGGTGTGTTCTCATAAAATAAACCATATTTTTGTTTATATCTTCTTTTACTTTGTATTTTTTAATTACAAAAACTTTCTCAAAAATTGGTATTAGAAAGTGTAGACCAATTGTGTGAATATTTTTGAATTGATGATCAAATTTTTATTTGCTAGAGCATTATATCAGTAAGAAATTAAAGCCAAAAATAGAATAGAAGTAGTTATTTCTTTGTTTACATTTGTTTATTCAAAAAATCTGAATACACGTAGAGAGATAAACAAATTAAACTAGTTCATGTTATGAGAATAAACACCCAAAATGATTTTTGTTTATTACTTTAAACAGAATTATAATATTTAGTTGATTGATGTTGTGAAGAATTTGTGTGTAGAGAACAATTTCCATGAAATCATTTGGATTATATGATAATATTGTAGAGGTTTGGAATTAATTTTTGAAAATAATATATTGTATTCAAAATTTTCACAATAGCAATCAAATATAGATTAAGTTCATCTTTAATCACGTGTTATTTTCATAATGGTATTAAAAAATATATTGTTTAGTTGATTGTTGTTCTGAACTTTTTGAATACCATGAACAATTTTCATGATATTATTTCAATTCTATTCTCTTGTCACATGTATTGATTTCACTTATTATTCAAAATACAAATGAAATGAGTTCCTCACACTCATTTCATTAGAGTTAGATGAAGAAAACATCAATCCATCTTGTGATAGGAATGTTGTTGCAGCATTAACGATGTATTAACGCAGGTAATTAAGATGATGAATTTGGTGTGTTACTAATAATTTTTAAATATGAATAATGCAAAATCTTGGCTATAGATATGTTGAGTCCAAACGCATTAGGTGCTCAAGTGAAGCTAAATATCACGATGTTAGTTCTACGGATAATTCATATTAGCATGAAAATTCAAAATTTGAAGAATGATTTAAAGCATTTTTGAAGTTGATAAAAGAAAAAAGCTTGTTTATGATGATCTTTCTTAGAGCATAGATTTGATCTCAATACTGACTGCCATCATCTTTGACATTCAATATCTAGATTTTCAAAAATTTGAAGTTCAAAATAATTAAATGTATATTGACATTCACTATTATCATATCTATCATCTAGAATTTATAGACTAGCATTACAAAAGATTGTAGTAGAATGAAATGTTCATCTTATTAGAATAACACTCATGGCGAGAATTTTTGTAATATGTTGAAATCAAAACGTAACAAAGATTTAACACGTTTACTTATTTAATAACAACATTGGTTCATTCTTTTTAAAACCTTGATTATTGTTGTAAAAAGAATTAAGTAGCAAGAAAAACAATGCACATTCCAAACATCTTCTAGTGGAGAAGACCAGAAAAAAAAAGTCTTGCTAGAAAGCTAACGATCAAGCAAAAATCAAATTTTTCAAGTCTTTGTGTTAAAAATGCTCATTGTGTTGGTATTTGTGTGAACAATTAGCTCAATACTCTTGCATCTTTGAATGAATATGTTTGAAAGAAAGAGAAAGATTACAAATCAAAAAACAAACAAACAAAACCTTTTGTAGTCGAAAGTACTTCAATGCATCTTCTAGAAGTACTTGAATTAACTCCAACATAAATAAATAAACATCAAGACAGTAAATAATCAACTCCCAAAATCACAAGATTGTGATTTTTTGAATAGAGTGAAGAAAATTATACATGAATGAAAAACAAATTTGTCAATTCAAAGTCATAGAGGATAATTTTGAATGTTTGAGAGAATGAGATGACAACTTAAAGTTTGAAGGAGTAATAAAATTTTATAACATAGTCAAATAATATAAACGTGATGACTAATTGCTTTGACACAAACAAATCAAATGCAAATTAAAGATCATGGATCAATACAAAACATTAAGATTAAAATCATCCACCTACAACAATAATAAATGAATAACATCCAAGATTAATAATTGAATGATGTTTTACTTCATTTACAATATTCAGTTATCAAACAAGTGGATGAATATTACAAACATAATCTACTATTTTAGACTCTTAAACCATGGTTGTATGAAAATTTGTCAAACAATTTGAATGAAAAAATGTCAAACACATTTCATGAATTTTTTGAAACTCATGAGTATAAAACTGAAAGATTATGGCACAAACATTTAGAATAACATTGATGCATTTAGTGATTTTATCATTTATATTCAGAATCTTTGAGAGGAGATAACTCAAAAATAGACACTATCCACCTTTTGGATTCATTCTATCAATCTATGTCAAATATCTTGTCTTTCATGATAAATAAGAAACATTTACAACAAAGTTTTAAGTGCTCAATTAATTAGTAATTTACATATGAAGAAAATATTGTCATATTAAAGTTGTAAGTGTCATATTAATAAACAATTTACACTAGAAGATAATTTTTTTGTCTTAAAGTTGCAAGTGTTTTGATAATTAACAATTTACATCATAAAGTGGTAACTGCTCTGTTAATGAATAATTTACATCCAATTATAATATTATCATTTTTTATATATTGCTCATGTGATAAAGCATTAAATAAGATCTCATCTTGATCATATTCATCAAAAGAAAAAGCATTTTTCTAAAAGTAGAATCAAGTCTATGAATGAATATTGAAATTAAAAAAAGTGATGATGTGTTGAAAATGTGACATCAGTGATCACGTCAAAAATGACAGTTGTATGAATATAAGTAGTGTTTAACTTCGTTAGCCAATGTACTTCAAGAGTTTGATCTCAAATAGTTTTATTTCATTGATGATAAACTATGATGCTAGATGTATGTCAT